TGTCTACTAGTTGAGCAGGGAAGCTTTTTAATTTATACAATAGAGGGTGGATCTGAATCACTTGAGTTGATATGTCCGCAAGCGACTCTTTTCTTCCTCTATCTCTCTCTGACTCTCTCTCTCTCTTCAAATACTTAGAAGAGATATTTACTTGTATCCCTACTTCGTCATTTTTCAGAAAATGACTTATCCACCCACATTTATTTATTAGAAGCTTAGAACTTTCACTTATTTATTCATGAGCTTTATTAATGATCTGACAGCTTTCACAATTTATAAAAGCTTGAAGGTGAAAAAGGGATTTCCCAGAACGCAATTGACTAGAATCACCTAGCGGAACATTCAATGGCCAAGTTATCGTTGTCATCCGTTCATATTCTACCCCCTCCTATCCTCTCTTCATTACCACCTCTTCTATCTTTTAGTTTTTGTCGTCCTCTAAGCCTGTCATATTACATTCCAAAAACTTCATGTACACTCTGAAAACAATTTTTTTTCTTTCATCTCCTGTTATCTAGGCGCTTCTTCAGACAGAGAGTGAGAAAGAGTATGATAGAGAGAGAGAGAGAGGAAGAGAGAAAGATAAAAGCTTTATCATTTCCAATCTAATATATATCTCAGCTGATCCATTATTGTTTTGTGAATATTCATCTTGCATCCATTTGGAAGGTGGTTGCTGATTGTGAGAGAGATGCATGAGCAATGCTAAAATGATAAAAGTCATTTTAAAATACTTATTTATCTCTCCTATTTCATATGTCAAATCCATTGGACATAAAAAGGAAATTTGTTTTTATTCCTCATAAGTACTTTCAATTGTAATTTGAGCTTCATCCAAAACACACTAAAATGATATTTCATGATCTTGCTCCAGCTCTTCTTGTTCGTCTGCTTGTTCTGCTCGAGTTTTCGTTCTTTTCTTTTTTTCTTTGCTAAAGATATGAATGAGTGTTGTTGATTCTGTATTATACCTGTTTACGAACCTATCTTCGTTTTCATTCACTTAAGTCTCATTCATGCTTAACTTTGAATGCTGAAAACTTTGTGAGTGAGTTTGACGCTCTCTCTTAGACCTTGTTCGAACTTCAACGATCTTCGAAACTCTAAATCTTTATTTCTTTGCTTACATGTTATCTTTCTGTAACCTTCTGATTTCTTTTTTCTACTTTGAACTCAAGTTCAAGCGTTGACAAAAGGCTATCCAAACATCTGACTTCCTTCCCGTATTCTATATATTGTTTCAACGCAAAAGCATGTAACCTTTATCGTCAAAGCAAGCTTTTAAAAATGTTTCGAAGAGAAATGAGCACACAGAGAGAGAGAGAGAGAGAAATGAACACAGAGAGAGAGAGAGAGAGAAATGAACACACACACACACAGAGAAAGTTACAGAGAGAGAGAGAAAGGTACAGAGAGAGAGAGGGGGAGAGAGAGTCATTCTCCTAACACAACTACCTACCATCATCATATTTTTGACTTTTTAATGAAAGAAAAGAAAAAAACGAAAGAAAAAGAATTGCGGATCTTCATCAACTTTTGAATATTCAGCTTACATACTACTCTAAACAACCCTTTTTTGTAATTTCTGAGCTTCTATTAACTTCTAATTTTTTGGTCTTCAGAAATAACTTTCTCATTCGATGTATACATCTATGCACATGTATTTACGTTGGTGGGATTGGATAATCATCATTCATGTCTTTACGTTCACAAACTCTCTGTGATACCCTCAGAGTCTGTTTCTCAGAAAGCACAAAGGTTACCATTCAAAGCGAATGAAATGTTAAGACAACTTACCTATTTCACACCAAGCTGGCTTATAATAGCTGGAATCATCTTTAATTCATTTTTCAATTCTCAATCGCAATTTAGTTATTTTAAAATCGCTTTTTCGCGTTTTTTTTCCTCCTTCTCCTTATCCTCCTACTTCGTCATCATCGTCGACGTCGTCTTCATGTTTTCTCATGTCTCGTTGTCCAGAGGGCTCTTTCTTTCTTTCTTTTTTTTCCTTTTTTTTTGTTGCATCATTGACCTTTCACGATAAGCTTCTACATTCATTAAGCTTTCACACAACCATATTTCTCAGACATTCTAGCTAATTGCATACTTAATTGGTCCACAACAAAAAAGTTAGATGCGTGTCCATGAATGTGCTGCTTCTTCCTTACTCCAGTCTCATCCACCCTCATCTGTCCACTTCATATTTTTTCATGATCAATTTCCTTTCCTCACATTCAACCATCAACACCCACGCATTTATATATAAGCATAAACGTGAACTGTTCACGCGAATTTCATTTGCAGTAATCAAAACGTGAATAGCGGCTGCATTCTCTTCATCTTATGCGTGTTCAAAGCACTCAGCTCTCCTCTTTTTTGTTCTTTTTTTTTCATTTTCAACTTTACTCCTTTTTACTTCGCTTTCCTTCAACTTTATGTATTTTAGATCGTACTTAAACAACTCCTAAAAATTTCCCCAACATAAAGCTCAATCGGTTTTCATATCTCCATCATGTTGCGTATGTAATGCTGGGCAGTGTTCTCCGATTAAGGTTCCACAGCATTCGCTTCCTCATTCTTCAGGACATTCGCAAACGAGTTCATGAAGAGAGAGAGAGAGCAATGCAGCTTTATCATTCCAACACTCTCTGTCAATGTTTTTTTTTCTTTTTGAATAATTTGTTTAATTCGTGAATTCTGACGACTATCCGATACCTTCCATATTCATCGTAATGAGTGAAGGAGAATATTGTGAGAGAGAGAGTAAACGATGAGAAACAGAGATAGAACGAGATATAGAGGGAGGGTAATTAGTCATAACCACGTATTTTCACATCAAACTTCAAACTGTTGCGATGCATGCTTGATGAACAGCTTGATGAATGACTCCCATATTCAGCTAGCTCAGGTGAGATGAGATATGAAATATGAAAATTCGTTGAATGACAATCTGTTAGCAAGAATTGGCATGTGGTTTTAACTGTCGTAGATAGCAACAAGACAAAAAAAAAATATTTCTAAGTTTTATTCGAAAGTTTTTGGCATTTATATTCATGGAGATCTCTCTTCTATGTGCCTACTGTGCTCATTCCGTTTTCTTATTTATTCAGCTTTCGTTTTTTTTTAGGAAATTTATGGTTTAATGTACAGTAATCTAAAGATTATAACGTATTTATCAATATCTTCGAGCGTCTTAACTCATTTTGTTGTTTTTCCATGTTTGTGTTTTATGTTTTCTTTCAACAAATCATGTCTCTGAGCATACACACACACACACACACACATGAACACAAAAAAAACTGAAAAAACAGCAGGAAGGGTGCAGATGATGAAGCTGAAACACGAAAAGTGTGTAAGACGTTTTGAGAAGATGTTGATTGATTTCAAATTGTTTCGGTCATTTATTATATCTGTCTTATTTTCTTTTTTTCTTTCTCTCTCTGTACGTCATTCTCTCTCTCTCTCTCTCTCTCTCTCTCTACCTCTCTATGTCACTCTTTGTAGTGTCAAAGTGTGAATCCAGTAAAAAAAAGGATGGAATTACCATTCTTCTTGTCAAGCACCGCTTGCTTTTGCTAGATTTGAGCTTAAAATGAACTTTTAAAAAAGCTTAAAGTGAAAAGTGTATGTTTGAAAGCAGAATGTTAACCTTTCGTCTCATCTCCTGAAGTGAGAGACTAGCAATTCGGAGATCAGAAGGAGAGAGAGAGGAAAAAACTGTTTATGATGCTTTAAATGGACTTCAAGCTTACGTAGATAATTCCGTTTCTGATTTTACTCACAAAAGAAAGAAAAACATTTTTTTGTTCCACTTCAAATATTCATTTTATCTCGAATATTTAAATTATTCACTGCAATCTTATTGAAACCTGTGACAAAGCTTAGTTGGTGGACTTGTTGTTCGTGCTGTATAGTGCTTAAATGACTTTCTTATTTTTTTTTCCTGCAAACAAAAAGTTCTTTGATTATTACTGACCACATTGCTGCTGACGTCATTAAGTATGCATATATGAAGCTTTGGGTTATACTATATAATATGGTTAAGTATTTTCTTTCATTGGCACACCCACAGCTCTGAGCTGTGCAACCCTTTCTCAACTCCACCCTCTCTTTCTCTATATCTCTCTTTCTTATTCTCTTTCTATTCAGAACCCTCTTTGTGATTTCTTTCAACTGAATGTTTCCAAAGACAGGACTCGTTTTCCGTTTCACATTCTTGAAAAGATAAAATTCTATAAATTATAAGACATAAACATTCATTCATAAACTATATGTCCTTCAAGTTTTTTTTTATCTCCCCACTCCTGCGTGAGCTGCTTCATCCGAAGACTAAAGTATCTTTGCAGACTCCTATTAGCATTCTGACCCTCTGCTGACCCACCATCAACTTCATTGCTAGCCCAAGCTGCTCTTTTCAAGATTTGCCTTTTTCTGTTTTTTTTCAAAAGCTTTCAGAACCTCTTCCTCAACCACCTTCCTCCCACTCACATCTCTTTTCCCTCTTTATGTTACTCTCTGAAGTTCAATGTTATCCTTCTCACTCCCACAAACTATTTACCTCCTTAATTTCCTCGCTCAGAAATATAAACTCTGCCTCAATTTCTCTCATCATTATTTTCCTGAATTATCTTATGTATCCCATCCTCTCCACTCCTTATTACTTCACTCTTTAATTATCTCATTCTAGAAGTGAATATATGCATATAGTTATATATTTGACAATTTATTTGTTTTTGTTTAGTTTATTACCAGTTGCTTTTTGAATTTGCTGACCACTGGCATCTCACCGCTCCAAACATTTTTTGCAGTACCCACACTTGAATTCTTCAACATGCATCTCATCACAAGCACATGCTAATCCTATCTATTTGTAAGCTACAGTCACAGTTAATTATTATTTTGTCTTCGTTCACTTGTTTTCTTCGTTACTTGTTGTCATCTGCCTCCGTTAAGCATCTTAATCTAATCAGCCTTCCGTTAAGGTAACAAAAAAAGTTCCGATGCTGTACGCATCGTTCATTATGTTCTTTGTGCTTATGGCAGTAACCGTTCGGTCACAGGAAGATCTCATGGATGTGGATGGTACAGGTGATTATGCTATTTTCAGTAATATTCTTTAAACTATATGTCGTACCGGGTGTGTATCGTGCGTAAGTAGAGAATGAATGAAACGAAAATGTTAAACAGCACCTGTTGTTGTGTGTCTTGTGCTGAAGTTCAAATCCTATTTCTCTTTCTCTCGTACGTTCGTGCCACATTCCATATAGGGAGTATTCTTGTCAGACAACTTGCAAGGTTCTTAAATACGTTGACATTTGCAAAGGGTAAAAGTTGGTATGAAAAGCAAATCGAAATAAGTAGCTTTTGAATCTCAAAAGATATAGGAAGTGATGCTAAATATGTAAATCAAAATGTTTGCAGAACCGAATGAAGGTGACGATGTTTTTGTCGTCGGTATTCCAGACGTCGTGGCTTTCCGAGATTCTTCTTCATATGAAAAGCGAAAAGTGATGCCATTTTCTGGAGGTAAAACCTATTCCGTAATTGATTATTTTTCTTTTCCTCTTCTCTGAAGCTTCTCTTTGAAAACGTACAAAACACAAGAGAGAGAGAGAAATTGAGAATGTAAAAAGAGAGAGAGAAAGAGAAGAGTGGAGAGTGACGCTATAAAGTTTGAAGTTTGTAATATTATTTTTATGATCTTTATTTGGATGCCTGTGACCAGGCTATTCATCTTTTCCTCGTATACACGCAAAACTTCTACGAAGAAGAGAGGAATGATGTCAAGCTTGTTGTATTCTGAATATTAAGTTCATAATAGATATTAGATGAGTTCGAACAAATAGTTGTCAGCTCTAGAATGAGAATGATGAGTGAGCCATACTTACACGATTCATATTTTCATCATTCAATTTGAAAAATATATATTTTAAATTGTAATGAATGAACTAAAAGAGGAAAATGTGAGGAAGGAAGAGTGGGAGAGAGGGAGAGAGAGAAATATAGAGGGAAAAAAGGCGAGAAAAAAGCAAACTATTTCCGACCGGAAAAGCTGATAAGCGCTGAAAACCTCATGCGGAAGTGAAAAAACACGTGACAACCCAGTTCATCATTTTAATCTCTTAACATTCTATTTCATCTTTCTGAATTGAATGCATCAATCATGATGCTTATCCTTATATACTTCATTTAAATATCTTTTATTTTTTTCAATTCCGAGAATGGAGGAAAAAAAATAGAAAAATATGACCTTTTAATTAATATGTTTTAGGCATGTACGGAAAAAGAGCAGTAACAATGCCTTTCTCCGGAGGGATGTATGGTAAACGAGCTGCAATTATGCCATTTTCCGGAGGTGAATATTATGCTTCCTTTCAATCTTTCACCATAATCATCATTGCAAAACAATAAGCTCATTCACATATTTACAGGGATGTACGGAAAGAGAGCGGCCGTCATGCCATTCTCAGGTGGAATGTACGGCAAAAGGGCCGCGGTCATGCCATTTTCTGGAGGTAATTTGTTTTTTTTTCTCGGTTTATAGTGCATGGTTCCAAGTTAAGAATATGAGTCAAGTTTAACTTGAATCATATTTCGAATGTATCCAAAGCGCGTGTTGAACAAAATCATTTTTGCAAAAACTCTTACGTGGAGCGGTTGTTCGATTGCTCGAGAATCCTTATGATCAACTAACATTCGATTCTTATAGGTATGTACGGAAAACGATCTGCACCAATGCCTTTCTCTGGGGGAATGTATGGCAAACGAGGCGCCATTTTCTTGACAGGAGGTATGTTCAAAAGGAAACAGCAACAGTTCTAATCATCATTCTTCATTCAGGACTGTACGGAAAGAGGGCAACAACCATGCCATTTTCTGGTGGCATGTACGGAAAACGAGCTGATCGTTATATCAGGTCTCCAATGCCTCTCAGTGGTGGATTCTACGGATAAGACTACGTCAAATGAGATATGAGCTCTTAGTCATTTATGTGTTATACCCACCGAGCTCGTTCCTTCATTTCTTTAGCAACAGCAGCAAAGCATTAAATTTTTTTTGTTTCTCAATCATATTCTGAACAAGTTATTCTGTCATACAAATATATTTTTGAATATTCTCATTCAAAATCAAAATTGTATCTTTTTGACAAGTATTTATTTTCGAATCATTATTATTGAAATGAACCAACTGTTTTACCAGGTCCCTCTCAATGTCAAAGATGTGGCATTTCCCGGGTTTCTTTCGCAGCTAGGGAAAGGTTATACATCCCTATTTCATCAAGTATTGTTATTGTATTCCACGTCACCTCATCTTATAGCTAGATTATTCTAGCTTAACATACCAAAGTCAATGTTCTGAGTCTTCCTTACCCTTAATTGGCCTCATTTCCACCCACTTATGCCGTTCTCAACTGTTGCTTTAAACAATGTGGCTTTATCAGTTGCAATTGTCATCTTCGGTACCAACACAATAGACCCAAGTTGATTAAAGAGATGTATATGTTAATATCTGTTTTTCTTGATTAATTAAAGAGAAAGAGTAATAGAAAAAAAATCTGAGATTTATATTTCAACATTGACGAATTTACGACATACATCGAAACGGCAGTGACAATGGGAGCTTAACGGAAAATTTTTATTATTTGAGGGACTGATTGAAGGCACAATTCACTACTGTTTGTCTGAGAAACATACTCTCAGTCAAATAGTAAGAAAGACAGTCTTTCAAAATTGGCAAGATATTAAACAGAATTTAACAAAGAGTAATGAAACTCATATGTACAGTGCAACACAACTAAAGCACTTGAGCATATCTCAATTACCTAAGATATCACATACCTAGGAATTCATATATGGAATGATGCTACAAACCATTTCTCTTCAAATCAAGTAATTGATTTCTATTTCCCAAGTGGCCTTGGCGACAGAGCATCTCCAGACGGGCTATTCCCTCACTTCTATCAGCTTCATGCTCGATCTGCCATTGTTGTAATAGCAGATTGGCATATACGGGCTCAGGGAAGTATCTTAAAAACAAACAGAGCATAAATTTCCCAAAAAAAAGTATTTACTCTTGCATATAGGCGGTTTGGGATGTAGGAAAAACTAATTCGAAATTGCCTTTTCTTCTAAACTCATCTGTGAATAAAGAGGTTTATGAATAGATGTCAAAGAACAAGAAAAACCTTCAAATGACACAAGCATTCTCACGTCTTCTGAAGACAGCCGTTTTAATACTCTAGGATCAACCTTCTTCTCGTCTTTATAGGAAGCAACCCAAGCTGCTTCTTTCTAAAACGGAATTCCTATTTGCAGAGAGCTGGGCGCTTACTTACCACCAAGTGATCATCGTCTTTGGGCAAGTTCCCTGGTCTTGTAGTATAATCTGCATCTAACATTTCTTCTTGGCTGCATTAAAGAATAATTAAGAGCAATTCTGAGTACATCCCACCTAGGAGGAACTTCGATGCCAGCCATATTAAGAACATCTTTGGCCAGAGGTCCCTTCACAGCTGCATCTAAAGTTGTCCCTGAATGGAGAGAAGGAGATATGTTCACCTAAAGTAAAAGGATAAGTAATAGTCAATTGCGATAGTTGAGTACTTCCAACAGCCAAGGTCTTAAACTTTCGTCAAGCAAAATATCCACACCAAATAATTCATGACAAATAAACCTAAAATTGAATTGGGAATGGTTAAGGAAGAGAGAAGTGTTATAAAACATACCCGTAACGAAGATACTTGGCCATATGATCTCGTATTGCTTTTTCACATGATATGAAAGCTTTAATAATAACATCATCAATTCTCTGACGAACATCTACAGAATTGATTCCCTGAATGGTGCATAATGTTTGGAAATGTTTTTAAAAACTAACCTTCTCTTCAAAATATTCCCATAACTCGGATAAAGTCCATTTTGGGACAGGAGAGTCGAGCACTCCGTCCTTCTCAGCTAATTTGTTAATGCTGTAATTTGTTAAATGCATATATTTATTGGAGACAGTTGATAAACATGTCGAATATCTGGAAAAACGAAAGCAGTACTTTTTTTTGGTTCCCCAGGCAACTTACTCTACACTAGCAAAACGTACTAAGCCTTCATTATATATGTAAACCCTCAATGGCTCCAAACAAGGACAATAAGCATAAAACCGCAAGTCGAACTTGGCTCCGTTTATAGTCAATGGACGATGTATATAACTGTAAAGTGGAAAAAGTATAAATGACTCCCAGAATTAGTGCTCAAAACGTACTGTTGAGCTATAATAGGAGTCTTCATGCAGATGTCCTTCATTTTGTTTGTGACAGAAATGCCGGTTCCACGTGCACTTGCTGGCTGGAAATATGAAAAAAATAAAAAAATATCCTCTGAAGCTTATTACCGGCTTAATAATTACATATCTTTCAGGATGTCCCTTCAAATGTTCGCATAAAGCTGCTTTCTCATTGGGTAAAATATAAGTTCTAGGGATTATATCGAACTCGGAGCCAAAATGCTGTTGTCGGTTTGAGATATGTGTCCATAAACGATCTTTTCTACCTATATGAAATGCCCCAGGGAAGTGATTTATCTGAAAAACAAAAAGTTGTGTCTGGAACACAGAGTTATCCAATTACTTTTTGATATGGCATCATGGTCTTGTATTGGGCGCTTTTGAGATGTCTTCCCCAATAACCAACATAAAAGCTATGTTCATCCACAATCTAAAAGTGGCAGATGGAGCTTGTGATGCTCTACTTCGTTGACTATACCGAGAAATGACTTGAAGCTAGGGATTGTCTCATAACTATAGGAAGAAGACTATTATGACACCATGTCACACGTGAGCATATCTTGCGATTCGGTTTACTGACTGAAGCAAGAGGATGTACACATCAATGAGAAAGCATGAAAATAACTGACCTTTCGTTCCTTTGGTGTAAAATCTTATCGTGGGTTGAACGCCAGTAAATAAACTACTACGGAGGAATGGCTCGGTCTCTATAGAAGATCGGTTCTTCGATAAACAGCTGGAAACAAGGTCTGAGAGTCCACACATTGACTTCTCATCTGAAAGGAAGAAGAGAAAATATTAAAAAATTCAATCGCAAGAGCTCAAAATAGTAATGAAATTGCCTCTTCATCTATGTATTAAGACAGCCCAACAACAATTGAATCAAAACAGCTGTTGAATCAAACAGCAAAAATTAAATGCAACCGAGTAGTATTTAGGTGCTTTAACTACACAAATCTTTGGGAATTTAGTCAATAAATTTTTCTTTTTGAAAGCGATGAACTTGGTGTTATTTAGATAGAAGATAAGACGTCTTTGCCACAACAAGAAGAGACATTAGTCCTAAACTTAGGCTTCAAAAAGAAGAACGCCAATAAGTGGATGCTTAGTGACTAGTCCACACAACGCGAAACTACCACGTTTTCTTTCTCAAGTAGTAAATTTTCAAAATAGGAAGCAGGGAGAGAAAAAGAGAGAGAGAGAGAGAACGAAGCTGCCATACAAGGGACAGCGGCGGTGGTGTGGGAGAGAGGAGGAGAAAGAAAACAAAGACGTCTAAAGAATATTTTACCAACGAAAAAGACAAAATGTGATTGAAAGTTCCAAGGTGATCCTAAAGAGACGCTAAACACACGACATTTTACTGAACTTGAACACAACAAAATCTTGGGGAAAACAGACTAGTGGGCTGCTTGAGTGGCACAAAATGGACTAAACAGCATAGAATGGAAAGCGATACAAGAAAAAAGATGAAATCTATCTGAGTGAAGACTTATTCTCCTGGATTTTAGGACGGGAATTCGTAGGTAAATAAAGATTTTCAATATATTTATTACGAAAACTCTCGAATAATATATGAAATTATTCATTTGGAGATTTGAGTTCGAGCTTAAACTACAACAGCGACGAAGTCTAAATACTTCTTTCTCAACTGCCAAACATCAATCAGGATTTCCAACAAAGGCGAATTGCCAATTTTGGAACTTCTTTTTTACTTCAAGAGTCGACTACTATATACATCAGTAATTGTTTTGAAAAGCATTGAAACGCAAGTAGAATCGTAATGTTAAACAAAAACCTTTTTTAAACTTTAGGATCGATGAAGCAGTTTACATTTAAACAAAACTGAAAGAGAAATCTTACCTTCAGCATCGGCAACCTGCTCATAATCCCCATCAGCTGAAGATCGTGAAGAGCAGGGCAGTCCCGAATCACAAGAAATGGTGTCCATCTACAACAATAAACAAACAAATGAGATGAAAAATGTATTCAAACAAGAAAACAAACAAAATAAATAATAAGAATGAAAATTAGTTAAAAGGAGTTATAATAGTTAGCATTGGTTAGTGACGCACTTGGCTACTTCGGAATCAATGAAGGGACAACAGGCCAGATGGAGATATGCGGGGGATATTTTAAAGATTACGTCTTTCAACGAGTGCTGTGTAAGAAGAGCTAACAAAGAGTGCAACACAGTGGACTCTTGTTCTGGATTTCCTCCAGCAATCTCACCCTTTCTCCCAGAACCCTATGTAAACTTGCAACTTAGCTATTTAGATAAGAAGAAACATGTTAAAAGAAGCCGAATCGATATACACGAGCAGAAGACTCGAGGAATAGTCGATGATGAGTAATTGACAATATTTATAAACGTTAAAAGGTTGGATGATATCAATCGATTCCCGATACAACATGTTTTTTATATTAATGAGATTGTTAGGTCATAAGGATAGATACAATACGAAATATGCACATAAGATCAGTTATTACGAACACCAAGACTTGCTTCAAGCTCTGCTCGTTTCTGTTGTATTTTATGATACATATACCTAAAACATATTGATTATATTATGATTTGTTATCATGTGCACTCACCTGAATACACCTTCTTGAGTCTCAGGTCTGTGGTAATGCTCCGCTCTGCGTTCGCTCTCAGACTCACCATGTGCTTCTGTCATAGTCTGAAATGATGAAAAGTTCAAAAATCATTCTAATTGCAAATTTTCACCTGATAATCAAGACTCTGGCTGACGAGCCACTTTCTGATGAACTCATGAGGCTCATCTGCGAAGCGAACATAGAAATCGCGTCTAGTTTTCCATTCATTAATCTATAATCATCGTAATGATGAGTGCATGTGAAGGAAAAAGCTTACTTGATCTACTAGATCATATATTTTTTGTTCCAAAACACCAATATCATTAGCAAGTCCAGGAGAATGAACGAAAGAAGTCATTAATTGTTTGAGTGGGTCTTCAACCTCAACATCTAGAGAACCAAAATGAGTTTTTTCCATTTTACTGAAGCCATTACCGATATCATAACAAGCAGTATTCTTCTCTCCACCATTATCTGTCTGCTGGATAACGTGTGTCAAGACCAAGGGGTCAGGTTGTTGAAGCAGAGGGTGTAAGCGCTGTGGAATTTCCATGAATCTCATTCGCTTGCAGCCAAATATTTGCTCGAGGAAATGGTCATTAACAATCGTGTCTCGGTCAATAGGATCCTGAAGATTTAAAAATTTTTTTTCAGAATAGTTTCTAATTAGAACCTGTAGCTTATGGGTTTTTATGTACTGCCAGAGAGATTCAATAATTTTAGGTCTAGTTTCGGTAGCAATTCCGAGAACTTTAGCGAGAAGAGGATGAAGCTTGAACTTCATCGGCTGGTAGTCAAGAAGAAGTAAGATTGTGCATTTCACCGGTTTGTCTCCAGGACGTTTAACCTAAGCCCAAACTTTGTATGATATTTTGTATTTTAAAATGGTTTACCTGGAAACCATCAGTTTCATGAGTTTGAGGAGTTCTATGCCACTCCACCAAATGATTATCAGGCCCGTAAATATCTTTATCCAATTCGATAACCTTAAAAACCTTTTTTAACAACTGTTTTCGTTTTTGAAAGTACCAAGCTCTTGAAGAATGAACTGAACTTCCGTTTAGCCATTTGTCGAGGAGGTTGAGCAGGGGTTGTTGTAGTTGTTCCATTCTGAAGTGACTTTGAACAGTGCAAACACCGCTTCAACAAACCTCTCCTCCTTGTTGTTCGTCCAGAAGTCGACCTTCAACACGGAGTTCCCACATAGGCACAGTACCTTCTTCACCTTCCTGTGAAAATTAAAAAAATTTATGCCAAACAAAAAAAATAAACCTTTTCTGGCTCTTTTGCAGGAATAAAAGTATGAGAAATGTAAATTCTCAGACGTCTTTTGACTTTTTGAGGTCGCTTTAAAGCTTCCTGAAATTAAAAAACTAATATACCAAAAAAAATGGTATCAAACTTGAATATCCAGCTTCTTTCTAGTAATTGTGGAGTCTAGCTTTTGCTCAAAAGATAAGAGATCCATGTATGCTTGAGATTCAGGAACTAACTCTCTGACCTAATTCATCTGTTTACTAATTTCCAAAATTTGAATGAAAACCTGTGGTGTGATAAGTTTGTCAGCATATCTTCGCTTCTTACGCGGTGGAGGATGAGGTCTATTTGGCATACCGCCTGGAGGTTGCTGTACAACTTGCTGACCAGGAGGTCTTCTCATATTAGGAGTCATATTTCCTTGCTGAAAACATGTTTTCATGGTAATAGTAGTTTTCTAACGAACCGGAGCATATCTATTCACGGGAGCCCCTGGAGGTACACCCATTCTATGTTGAGGCTGCATGTCTGCAAATAAACTTTTTTTTCATTCATTTTTTCCAATTTTGGAGAGCAAGTAGCTTAAATCCGAAAAAAACTGTATAAGCATGATAGACATATAATTTAAACAGCATGCAAAAGGCTTGGATACAATGGTCTGCATCCAAAATTGATTTGAACGCCATTTGAATTAGGGGTTACTGCGTGCGAGCGTTATAAACAAGGTTTTCGTGGTAGGACCCGCGCGTTGCAATTGCCGCACAGAATGGTCTGAATTCAACCATATTCGAAGGCGTCACGACTTGCGCGCTAGGACCTGGGATCGATTAGACCTTCATTTACAATCATATACGAAAGTGTCACGTTTCCAATCGCTTTGGTTTTGAACACGCTGTTGAAAACTGAGGATAGGTAAGTTTTATTTTCTTTATATTTTTATTTATTATTTTTCTGTGTCCAATTGTTTATGTTCTAGTTATTTCGAAAATATATAAGATGAATTAAATCAGAAATCGATTTTTCATTTCGTATTCCTTGCATTCATTGCTGACCCAGTTTTTAGAAACGTCATTATCCATCACGATTTTCCACTGTTGTATCATTTTCACAACTTAATATTAATACGTTCAAACTTCCCGATCAGGCTTGAAAAGGAAAGCAGAGTCATTTCAATCGTTAATATTTCATATCGAGTAAACAAAAGAAATGAAAAACAAAACAAACTTCGAGAATGTACCAGATTTCTTCAAATTCTAATAATTATTGATGTGTATAGTTGCAATCATGTATTCTTTGTCACGACTTTGTTTTGAAGCTAATAAGGGTTACATGATCATATCGAACATGGGAACCTGAATACTTCGTTTTTTGAAGAAAAAAGTCATAAAAACATGAGACATTTATCCGAATATTAATCTAATCTGTCTTGGTTCGAAAAAGAATCGCAAGCAAGCTCAAAATAGCTCTTCGAACGAGCATGAGGTGATTGTGGAGTTTTATTTGTAATTAACGAAGTATAAAGTTTTCAATTTGATATGATCATAGAAATCTATGGCCTCTCTCATATGGTGTTATTTATGTTAATGAAAAAGTATATTATTGAATCATGTAATTATGAGTATTAAGAGTTTCTTTCACAAAAAATATGTCTTCAGTCCGTTGAAGGACAACGAGTAGATGAATTGAGAATTTTCATTGTTCTCTGCATATCATTTGTTTCCGATACTATCAATGTTTGGAATGTGGTTGAAGAAAATTGGAACTCACCAGTTCATTTTCTTCCTCTTCCTGATATGGAAGCTCGACAAAACAGCGTAGCTTCATTAGCACCTTGTATTAAAGGTCTAATCACTTTAGGGTCCCGCAGCGGAGGTCGCAACGCTGTCGAATTTGATGGAATTTGGTGCATTCTGTATGTATGCTAATTGATTTCTCTTGTGGGCTGACGTAAATTCACGTGTTTTCGTGAAGTTGTTAATCTGCATTTTTAATACACAGTGCCGAGAGTTTGGTTGTGTTGTTTGTTGCTCGGTTTAATCACGGTGTCCGGATTTTCGTAGCGTTCTGCGCAAGGTGTTCATCGTGTTTTTTTTCATAACTCAGCGTTTCGTATTATTCTTTCTTGTCTCTTATTGATTCGATTGGAGTAATCAAGATAATTTCAGAATACGGTCAGAAAAAACATCAATTTCGTCCGGGATTCTTGAGTGCTACCATGGATGTTGTAACTGGGAGTACATTTGCAAAGGAGTATAGGTACATTGTTTTGTTTTCCAGTGTTTATTCAATGTTATTACTCTTCAGATCTGCATTAGGGGAGCTCGTGTCTAATAATAAGACTCAGATCAATCTACTTACTATATTGGCAGAAGATTACCAGAGTCATGCTTCCGAGATCGTTGCTGCTATAGAAAATCATATTTATTCTGTAAGTTTGGCCAGACGATTGATGAATGAATGTTTGTATTTATTACAGTGCAATATTGAAAGTAAATTACCTATATTGTATGTAATTGATTCCATTCTGAAAAATATACCAAGAGCCCCTTATAAAGAATTGTTCAGTAGTATAATAAGTAAAATTTTTTTACACATATTTATTAATGTAAGTTTGGTTGTTTGTAGCTTTTCCATAATCTGTTCTTTAAGGGAGACGAGAAAGTTCGTTCTTGTTTATACCGAGTGAGACAAACTTGGACTCAAATTTTCAATCAATCCTTGTTATATTATTTGGATTTGAGTGTGAAAAGAGAGGATAATGCGTGGCCTGTAACTGCTGTTGTTCCTGAAGCGTCGACTAGTCAAAGCGGCGGGAATAAAGTTCTTGCATCAGATAGTCAGAGCAGCGGAAATAGAAATAATGTCTCGGATAGTCAGAGCGGCGGGAATAAAGTACATGTGAATCCTAGATTTATTCAAGAAAACAAGGTGTGTATTCTTCTTATTCATTGAATAAAATTCTATTTCAGGCTCGCGATCCTCGTGTTTCGAAGAAAAAGGAACAGAAAGAGAATGGAACGAACGATTTGATGTTAGTTCTATATTGAATCATTTTCCTCATGTACAATTTATAGAGAAACTATTCTTGGTCATCGAAGTCCTCTTGTTGAATCTTCTCCAAACCCTGGAAGCTCACCAATTGGAGCTAAGCGGAAACTACCAGATAACAACAATTACCATGACCGGAAAAAGAAAAGATCTCCTGTGCCACAAAGGGAAAGAAGACAGCGTCATGATGAGCGGCAATCAAATAGACACGACGACAGAAGACATGATCGTGAGCGTGAGCGAGACCGTGAACGCGATCGTGAACGTGAACGAGAGCGGGAGCGTGAGCGTGAACGGGAACGTGAGCGAGAGAGAGAACGAGAAAGAGAACGAGCTCGCGAAATTGAAAAGTGAGTCATTCAGCTAACTTTATTTCTTATATTTCATATATCAGGAATGTGGTTGCTTCTACTGTTCTACCAGGATCTCATGCGTTCAGTGCGCCTATCATTGCCGTTGCAAGTAATACTCCCCCTTATCTGCCACATTCCGCAGCTAGTTTTGTTCCCCCGAGTGCTTCTGAATTACCCGCTCCGGTAACTGCACCTCCTGCTTCTTTTTATCCCAATGCTGCTCAACCAGGTTTCTTTGTAATATCATTCTTCTTTTAATTGTGTTCAATTTAAGGTGCTCAATCCTCATTCGGTAATCCCTCCCAGCTTAATTCTGGGAGATCTCCTTTCCCTACCGGTTTTGTCCCTCCAAATCCTACACCGTTGGCACAGCCAGTAAGTTGCACCTGTTATTCATAGATTCATATTTTTGCTTCAGGTACAAATCACTAACGACACTGTACGGTTGGATGGGATCCCTGCTAATAATAGAATTTTTGTTGACGGAAAAGCTCATGAAGTTTTTTACATTGAGAATACAGCTGTGATAGAGAGAAATGGTCTACCTCATAGGTTGTTTTTTCACCACAAATGCCGATATGACTTTTAATTTGTAGAATCTATTTCTCCGGAACGCCTAGAAAAGTAGTTATTGATAATACCCCATATGAACTTGCTTTTGATGAAGCAAAGACTGTGTACATTGATGGTCTCCCACATATCTTACGTTTTGGCGCCCCTAGTCGGGAGCTTTATATGGGTGATTTTGCATTCAAGGGTCAATTTGGAGGTATAGTGATACAATCGTTTCTTACTTTTAGCCTGGTTTTCTTTAAAGGTCCACCAATCAATGCCACAATTAATGGAAAGCGACATCAAATCCGTTTAGCCGGACCAGCTCCTGAAGTCAAAATTGAACCGGATCCAGCTCACGATCTAGCGAGGTTTATGCCAAGTGTACGTGATAAAGTTATTGAGAAGAAGCCATGTGAGTTCTTGTGCTGGATATTGTTCCTAAAATTCTCTGTCTTGCAGTTGAAACATCATTCGGACATATCGAGAAAATTCTTTCGTTTATCCAAAATAGGAAGCCTGCTCCTGTTAAGGTGGAAACTAAGCCAGCAGTTGTTCACACTGTTTCACGCCGTGAGAACACTCCACCTATATCTAGTGGCCATTCGTATGTTTTAGAAACATTCTAATTTCTTTGATGTTTTCTTGTAGATTCGATAAAATCATGAGAGCTTCTGCACCTGCTTCCTCACTACGCGATTTCTCGATGCAAACCTTGAAAGTGTAAGAATTTTTGATTCTTTCCATGTATAATGTGTTATCCTCAGCCGGTATGACGCCATAGTTGAAGCTATTCATATGAAGCAAAGGAACGCTTGCCCACATTGTGGTTTGAGAATGGAACTCAAAGTACGGAAAATTTGATGTTTTCCTTATTACAAAATTCACTTCCAGGGACCTAAATACGATAGACATTTGGATTGGCATGTAAAGAAAAGACTGGATACTCTGGATAGAACTAGCGCTAGCCGGCCATGGTATCCTGCTAACAAGGTAGGTTTATGATTTCACAAACTCTAGACAGATTATGATATGTAGGAGTGGCTGAAGAAGGAGAACGAACCTGAAACAGCATCAAATGAGCCTGCAGGAGGAGGTTTGTAGTGAGTTTTAACAAAATCTTACCTTTGTTTCAGAGCATAACGATGAAGCTATTTATTCGGGTCCTGCAGTTGTTTCAAATGAAGCTTCAAGCAAAGTAAAACAGTTTGAATGTGAACATTGTTTATCATTTACCTTGCAGGAATGTGATGTTTGTGGGGAAACGTTCGAGGAGTACTTTGATGAGCATGATGATTGTTGGAAATATAAGAATTGTGTGCTAATGGACGGCAGGGTTAGTCTTTCTTCATTACTCCTGTATTCATCATTGTTGTGTTTAGGCATACCACTCCAGCTGTGCACAGGACGCATCCAGGATCGACCTATCTGTGATATCACTTGATAATGAAAGTAATGCAATTGTTCCAGATATGAAGCCGTTAAATAATTTTTCAAGTTAGGGTGTTAAGTGAGGTAGAGAGAAAATACTTATAAATTAAAAATAAAAAAAACAACAAACGAAAGCGCGTAGCACAAAAATTAAATGTACAGACACAGACTGGGTTGATTATCTTTCTTTGCCGGTATTCCAATGCTTCTTGGTTGTGCGAAAATAAATATTTTTTATTTTTCTTGTACCCTTTTATATTAATATTCAACATTGGTGTAATATTATTGTACTTGTTATTATTCAATAAACTGTTTCCTTTTGTTACCTTGTTTTCGATATCCTCGTGTTCTCTCACAAGCAGTACTTAATTGGATTGGTTTTATGAGGAATTCAATTGTCTTTGGAGGATGACAACTCTTTCGATCCTACTCGAAGGAAATGCTTGTTCTTGGGGTAAATTGGCTACTAACCACGGGAATGCCGTAATTTCCGATGTAATTAGATCTGTGGTTCGTGCTGAGTTTACCTAAACATAAACAGTGTTAATGTTCAGGTGTCATTTGCTAATGCTCATCTATCTTTATCTTCCGGGAATAAACTCCTGCTCTTCATGTTTGCCAGTGGGTTGAAGAAGAAGCTCCTGTTCAATTCGCGCAGATCAGCATCTACCGATTTCTCCATTGAAATGATCAAAGCAATTAGAGAAACTCTCCACACTTCAGCGTCAACAGACGATATTTCAACTGCAACACCTTTAGCCGGAGTTTTATGTCATTCTATATGCCGTACTGTTTCCTCGGAGAGAAAATATGTGCATACTGTTTTGCAGATATGAAACAGTCTAGTAACTCTGATCTCAAGGAAGCCTCTTCAGAAAATCCTACGATCACTAACACTCACTTCATTAATGGTCGTGTAGTTATCATTTCCATGACTGAGGATTTCGGATCAGAACATGGTAATTGATCGTCATTCACACTCTCAAGACAAACATTCGTTTCAGGTCCTTTGATGAATTTATTTTTCTCCTCTGCCAAACATGGAATATGTGTAGATGTTATATCACTTGGACCGGCTAGTCCGTTACTTCAACAAGCTGCTGATATTACGAGTGGAATGTTCATTCAGATTGATAACCCGAAAAAGTTGTTGTGTAAAATGATGGTGAGTGCGTTGAGCTGAATCCATTCAAACCTTCTATTCCTAGACCAATGTATTGGGTCATCCATCATCTCGATCCATTTTCCCTCAGCCACATCTAACGGTAAGACCTTACAAAACAACTTCCAACCGAAAAATATATATTCAAGACGGTTGATTATCGAGCATCCTGTGCTTGTCATCATCAATTGGTATCAACGGGATGGGTGTGTTCAGTTTGTCTCTCAGTGCTCTGCCAATTTGTTCCAATTTGTACGTCATGCGGGTAATTCATGTTTTAAATTAATTTACAATCTTTCCTTTCTAATTTCTAGGGCAGTTTTCAAGATCTCAGGTTTTCCAAAGAAAGTTATTAAGAGGAAGAGAAAAGAATAATGTTGATAACAAAGTTTTCCGGGTCGTTCAATTCAATAAAGATTTAATATTTTATGAAATACTCGATCGTTGGTTTTGAACCTTCCCCTACTTCAACAGTATCGTGTCTAGTTCAAATATATCTTTCAGCTTCTGTGATATTGTACAAAAGATAGGAAGATAAGATATGCAACATGATGACCAGTATTTCGCTGCAAATGTTCGCCATATCATGGAATACTCCAGAAAAACACTTTTTGCTGCTTTAGACAGTTTAGAAGGTCAAAAAACTATTGTATGGGACCGAAGTTTGATGAAACGAGTCAATGTGGTAAGGTGATCTCTGCCTTTCTCTGTCTCAATAATATAAACTCCAGTTTGCCGGTCCTTCCGTTTTGGAGAAACACGATGTTGTAGCTAATATGGCTCTTGATAAACAACATGTTACGAATACTCCTCATGCTGTTTTCTTCCTGGCCCCCACTCTTAGTGCTTTGGACCAGTTATGTACATATATAGATGCATGTGGGAAAGAATCGGTGAATCATATGAGTTTGTTTGACAGGCGAAATTTAATTTTAGAAGTCATTATATCAAGTTTTCTTCATACCGGAGGCTTGGTACGTAGTAAGAGAGAAATTGAAAGAAAGGAGTGAAGGGAAGGTAACTCAAAAAGCTCTTATATTAAAACAAAGTGGTTTTAGTATTTTGAACGATTAGAATCTGTTCAAGATATCCCATTATGGTGGATGCCCCAGGATGGAGAATGCCTTTCCCTTGCAGTCCCTGAATTGACATCAAGGTTTTTCTTTTTCTGCACGTTTTGCAACTTCAAAGAACCAACCGCTCCGTCCTTGCTGTAATCTTCAAAATGATTACTCTTGTTCACGTCAAAACGTGAACATCAGCTTCATTTCTATTTTAATGATCGTTAGGAGCGGTTGTTAATCAATGAATAAAATAAATAAAAGTTCTTACCATTGTTTTTCAGATTGTTAATTAATGGCGATTGGACATATCTGTACAAATGCGCTTATGCCCTACATCAAGTAAAAAGCATGTGTTCTGGTGATGTCCCGATATACAGCAAAGGAAAATGGGCCCAAGATGTCGTGCGTATGCTATCTACATTAGGACCGCCTGCGGTAGGGCAGCAAGAATATATCTTCAAGATTGATGGGTTTTGTTCAGGAATCGTTGCCAGTGAAAAGTTTGTGTCTCAATCGAATCGTCATTATCGACAGATGGTTAGATCCTTTGACACCCCTACTTACTCAATTGACATACGCAGGACTGTTAGATGAACTATACAGAGTCAGTATGGTCGGATCGATTAAGGTTTCAACACAGAAAAGCGTCTGCTATAATAAAATGGCATTGCAGGTCCTCAAAGCGGAATTCGAGCAAAAAGAAGATGCCGATCCCTTTGAATTAAAAGAGATATACCTATTGGACGAAATTTATCATCGTTTGAAACATTCTCATATCAACGCTATCGGACATGAGTTGGGAGGCATTTTACAGGAAATAAGAAATGATGAAGAGGTAGATGGGTTTTTTAATGTTCTGCAAACAAGCTTCTTTCAGTATGACCGGGAAAAAATGTCAATTGCTGAGTATCAAGTGTTAGTGAAAAAAATGCCCCAAATTTTGAAAAAAAAGGAAATGTGTAATATGCACATGCGTTTGGCAGAAATGATACAAGCTCAATTGTATGATTCTTTCGTTGATTACATCAAAGTGCAGAAAGGTCCCCCTAGAAATGTAGGATATTTTATTATTCGTTTCTTTACAGATTTATTGGAGTCGAGTAATTGGGAGAAAGTGGTTACATTTATTGAAGATCTGATCTTAGATGCCGCCGATGTGTCTATAGTTCTCAGGTATTTTTCCCCCCAAAGAAAAGGAGATGATATTTCAAACAAAGGATGATCGCGATACATTCTTTGACTGCAGGTGGCTTCAAACCTTCAGTTCTCGCAGCATATAGAAGAATGGTTATGCAGGTTGTCACGTCATTCACAATACACACACAACTTGATTCCCTTGCAGAGTTATGGTACCGACGCTGTGAGCAAACTATTAAAAATGCAAAAAATGGGACTTATTCGCGAACGTGGAGGAAGTGGAAAGCTGGTTTGCGATCACAGCCTAATGAATTACCCACAAATACGAAAGCAATACGAATTGATCATTGATGACGTACATGAAGCGGTTTGTGCACTTGAACAGATCCAGTTGATCTTTAAAAAGCTCAATTTTCAGGACAAAACGAATCCAGCATATGCATATAGTGGATACTGTTCGTTGCTCTGCCGAATACTTGCCGAAGGAGACAAAATCAAGTGGGCTGGCTGGAATAAGCTGGGTGATTATAAAGGAGGAGGTACAAACAAAGAATTGAAACATTTACTCGTAACAACAATAATTTAGAAGATGATAAAACAGCAGTTTTTATAGTAGGCGGAGTAACAAGAGCGGAATTGGCGATAATTAAACAATTACCAAACATATCATTAGTTCTTACAAGCGCTTTATTAGTGGGTGATAGTTTAGTCGACAAAATAACTACAATATGAAATGAATTCTCTATTATTTTTTATTTATTGGATGAATGAAGGAACATGTGCGAGAAAAAAAAAACCATTTATACTACGTATTGATAGAGGATCAGTTTATAATATGAATATCCCCATTATGAAAGTTATCCACTTACGTGAACGATGACCATATGTACTTTTATAACCGTATTGATATCAGCACAATAAAAAACCCATAATTACTACAACTCCTCTCCACTGCTCGTTGAAAGTGAACGTTGAATGATTGGAGATGATGGAGGCCCCATTTTCTGAAACAACAACTTGCGCGTGACAAAGAAGCATACGGCTTACCGCTCCTCTCGGTCTGAAAAGTTCGTGCCTGGCTAGTTCAAAAACATCGGCACGATCTTCCTTCCTATATTGTAAACACCGAAGAATGAAATCTTGAGCAACCTGACTTAGCTGAAACAACGAGCATTTTTGTAAAAATCAAATGAAAAATGGTACCTGTGGCTTAGGTGGGAATGTTACTTCAGTAGCCTTGATGATCGTATTTTCTTCCAAAATTTTCTGCTGTGTCTGCTCGTTACCAAAAGGCTAAATAAACAGGTACTCAACAATCATCAGACAAATGTCAACCTTCTTTCCGTAGATGCATTGGTAGAAAATAACTCCAACACTCCAAACATCTACTTTAGAACTGATTCTTGGTGGTGCATGGCCCACAACAAAAGTTTCAGGAGGAAGGTACCTGAAGTACATATGCTTTCAATCAAAATAAGAAAGAGAGACAAACCAGTAAGTCCCAGCAAATTGAGACGTTAATTCTAAATCATCATCACTACTTTCCATTATTTTTGAAAGACCAAAATCGGTAATTTTGATTGCCCCGCATGCTGTACCCGATTCTAACAGAATATTGGCAGGTTTTAGATCATAATGAATGATTGGCGGCTTTTTCTCATTTAAATAAACGAGAGCAGATACGACCTATGTTGTTGGGGTTTATTGACATAGATTAGAGATGCAAACAAACCTGCATGATAATACTTCTAGCTTCCTTCTCAGATATACATTTGTTTTGCTTAAGATAGAAGTCAAGATCATTGCCAGGACAATATTCCAATACAGTACAGAAGGAATGATTATCAATAGTGAATAAATCAAATAATTTAACAATACGACAATGATCTAGTGACTTATGAATATCTTTTTCACGCATCGCGTGTTTCACATAGTTGGCCTAGATTAGCGATTATGAAAATATGCCCAATAGAGTAAAAATATACCTTTTTTTCCTCCTTCCATTCCTTATTTACATGGTGGATTTTACAAGCCACATACCGATTTTCTTCCAAATCATATGCTCGCCAGACCTCACTATAACAATGTCATTAGCAATAACGATAGCCTAGAGTCCGCATATTCAACATAAGCACTACAATGTTGACCTAATGTCCCCACTTTCCTCCCCCCCCCCTAGCCTATCACGATTAGAACTGCGTCATACGCGAAGGACTGCCGCAAATCAATAGCAAGCAACCGGTGGAAAAAAAGGGCCCGCCACTCGAACAGATCTCTCTTCGTAGTGTTTAAGTCAAAATGGAAATGCAACAAATAAAGGATAAAACATTACTGACCTGAATCCTCCCTTTCCAAGGAGAGCCAACAAGAGATATCGACGACTTGACAACATTTCATGATCTTTATACCGTGAATCCCGTTCATTGGCAGCTCTTTTCAACTCCCGTAGATGAAGTTGTTTCTCACGTTCCAGTCGTTCTTTTTCGGAGAGAAGATCCGTTTCTTCCTTTTTCAAATGCTCTTTCCGAAGTTTATATATCTCGTCCTAAGCAAAGAATAAGATGAAATGAATTCGAGAAGCTTAACTTACAAGTTCAATATATTCTTGAAGATTGATTTCTTTAGGCTCTTCCGGCCTTCGGAATACAGAATCTTCTGTGGCGTTTGAGGTAGAGGGTAGAGATCCATCGTTCATAGTTGATATCGAGTTTAAAACAGATCTGAACAAAAGAACAGTATAAATCAACATTCTAAGCATAAAAATCTCACTTTTTTGACCCTTCCTTTCCAGGTCCGACGGGTTTTCGTTTTTTTAATAAAATCGAAGCATTTTGCAGTTCTAGCCTTTCCTGATTGAGATGTTGAACTTTACGATTTAATTCATCATAGGCATAACCTTCGGCCTGCAATCACAGAAATAATTACAAAAGGGAAACTATAGTGAACTTACGAAAACATCTTTGAAAGAATCACCATGTCTAACTAGTTTGTATTGTCCAATTCTAGGAGTGTCCGTTCGTGTCTGAAACGGGAAATTAGATCATTTCAAAAGTTGCGAAGTTTACTTTATCCACAAGAGATTTCCGTTCTACAGTGTTTTTCTCAATCAGCAACTTCCTAATTGCTTCTTTACAAGACTCATTCTTCCGTTTTTCATTATTCAACTGCAATATTCAAGGGTTTTTAATAATTCTTATGTTTCTCAGAACCTTCGATGTTAAGTCATCAATTTGTCTACGACAATCTGTTAACATTCTATCCCGTTTTGCGATCTCTTCAGTGGTAATAGGATCAGTGTCCGCCTATGATAACTTGTATATAAACATTTTAAACAATCCAAGCTTACAGTAAACTCAGTTTGGGTTTCTTCATCTACTCGTAACCGTGATGGTGGACTTTGATTGGAGTTACTATTAGAATCAGATGAATAATGTAAATTAGTAGGAGTTGTTCGGTTAACAGGGGATGGCGATTGCACATTCCACTAAAGATAAAACTAAAAATCAAAAAGTAGGTGGCACTTACCGGTCCACAAGTATTTTCATGAATGTATGACTCGCCATTAGTTGAGCTGCTAGCAAACCGTTTAGGACTAGATTGCGACTAAAGATGAAAGAGACACTACTGATATATCGAACGATTCCCACGAACCTTTATAAATTCTGTTATTTTTCTCTCAGCTTTAGGAGTTTCCTCGCCACGTCGTCGTTTACGTGCGGATTTCTTCTCACTTAATATTCTACCAAATCTACAAATGTTAAAAAGCTTATACTTTGGATTGTCTAATGTTCTCACTTTCCGGGTGTATCAGGTTCTCTATCAGATGTAGATCCAGCACTACTCAAATTACTACATTCATTAACACCTTGGGGAGGATGGGCAAAAACACGCATTTGTCCATCAATACTATCTTCATTGATTGGTTGCAATGCTGCATCAGTTGGACAAACGCCTCCATCAGCCCCCAAATTTTGTGACTGGAAAAATGAAAAAAATACAAAAAACATGAATAAAAGAAGTAATTAATCAAAAAACAAATACTTACTGTAGGAAAAGTTCGGCTAGCCCTGGGTCCGGTATTAAATATTTTCTGCTCAAGCTGAGAATGATTTAGTTGTTCAAACCTCTGCTGCTCGAGTGGGTCAGCCATGGTAGTCATCATTTGTGAGGCATTCAAGCAAATGGATGAATATTTCTGAAAGTTCGAATTTTGTAAAAGTGATTGTTCACAAAATAAGCAGTCACGTGCATATATTCCAACACAATAATTGTGAAGAAACCCTCAATGCCCCGCCCCTCACGTTAGAGTACATTCATCAACGGTAAATGAATAAAAAAACATAAATTAAGACTTATGAAAACCTTTTCCTTCGATCAGCCTTGTAAGACTGATAATTTTGTAAAAAAATTATCAGACGATAAAAAATCAATAAAAACATCACGTAGTTGCATAGAAAAAAAAACATAAAAAAACAATCAATACAATATTTGAGGCGCCAGAACTACTAAACATTCCGTCCTTGGTCACAATGGGTCCCGACCCGCTTTGGATTACGGTATCACATTTGGCATGTGGCCCCGCCCATACTTTTTTAAGAGCGCCGACTTTTATCTACTTCAACAGATTTCTAATTTTGTTTTTGAATAATTTTAATCTATAGTAAAAGTTTCACTATATATAGAATTTCTTAAAGAATAATGTATATGTGTCGAAATTTTAAACAGTACGGTTTTAGAGGCGGAGATGGATCCAAGTGATGGTAAGGTTGTGAGTAGAAATAGAGAAAGGTTGGTAGTATTCTTTTTCGAAACATTGTTTTTTTCGTATTGGGGGAGAGAAAACGAAAATTTTAGAAGGCAAATTGATCCACAAAGGGCAAATGGACGAATGTTAGATGTTATACGGGGTGTTGTGTCGGGCTCTCGAGGCCGCGGTGGATCAGCTGGTCAGGCAAGATCGGCTCCACGGCAAACGAAAGTTGAAGTAAGATAAGAAAAATGTAGTAGGTAAAGGAGATAATGTTTTTAGGAAATTCCTAACGTTGATATATTGATAAAACAAATAGGTGAAGTCACTACTCGGCCGGAGCGAACTGCAGCACAGATCGGTTGCATTTCACGTCATTTGACAATAATGCTCTGCATTTTTTAGTGAGAAACATATCATCATCTAATCTTTTTGATGATATGGATGAGGAGGATTGGTTGAAGCTTATTGATTGTATGATAGCGTTGGCGATAGAAGAGGGCGAGGCTGATTTTGTGGTAACGATTAGCGTTCCGCTGATTAGTGAGTGGGGGACGAGTCTGGCAAACATTTAATGTGTTTTAAGAGTATTCGATGTTTCATAAGATTATGAATGAGAAATTGATGTCACTCAGTTCTTCTTTCATAATGAACATGGATGAAGAATCTGATGCGATTCCTGCCTTTCTCGGGTCTATTTTATGTAATAGATGGCCCCGCGCAATGTCAAGAGTGGGTTACTAACATTTTTTCCTCTTAATGAGGTTCCTCATTCAGGCTATAGATACTTCAAATCCGATTTTATTTGATGCAGTATCCATAGTTAAGGGCTGGATTCTTGTGGTATCTGACGATAATGAGGTTCCACTCTAACATATCTTACAAAAAATGATGATATCTTAGGCTCAAATCGAGGGGGATGACCCAATTAGAGAAGAACCGGAAATCGTTAATAGGTGTGATAGTACTCAAAGTTCGGGCAACAATGGTATTCAGATGTGCGCAAGCTACGTGTATGCTCTGTGAAAAAACCCAAAAGGCCCTATGGATGAGTTGGCCAGAGATTTGTGATGAAATTTATGCAGCTTTCAAGCTGGCAATAACGCATAACACAGTTATAACAGGGTAAAGTTTAAGCGTAACGAGAGATTACAAAACTTTTGAACTTAAGAAATGTTAAGGAGAGTGTCTTACGTACTTTCATGGATTTGCATACGTGGACGAAAAGTAGGTCTGTAGTAATGAAACCTGCATCCACTCAAACATATGAAAGGAGTCGCCTTCAGCATGAAGACGACTAAAATATATCTGTTACTTCCCATGCATATCTTATAGTCTTTACGGCTGTGTAGAGATCTTACTATTCGTTCTTATTTATATTTTATACCAATTCTACTTCTCACTCAGGTAAAACCTAAGAATTAACAGTTTTATACTAAACTCTAACTTTCATTATTTTACTTTGCCACTGGATTATATTGATCTCTTAAGTTCTAAACTATCCGCATAAAGCTTATATCTAACAAACTTGTTGTATCTTGTGTTTTCTTACATTGCATAGGAAATCAAAAAAATCTCTTTACAGGTGGCAGGAAGGCTGTTGTTACGGGAACGTAACCAGATGCTCTCATCCTTTGATATTTAAATTTATATGGGTTGATTCGGACATGAATAGCTTTCCGTGTGGGAAGGTTTTTTTCCTTGGTCTTTTCACTTCAAATGCCCTCAAGTAGTGCCGTTTTCGTTGCTTAGTAAAAGTCTTGAATGGATCAACTTGTGAGATTCCGCGTTTTTCTTGCAATCTTTAGCTTAAGTGTATAAACTAGACAGATTTGAAGGTTCGTGTGAGGCTATTGTACAACTGATGAGCGAGAGGCAAAGATCGTGAGAAATCAATAATGTGACAACTAGGATATGAACACGTCGAATTGGTACGAATTTCATAAAAACAATAATTTATAGGATATAGCAGAAAATGGGAAGAAAAAAAACTCCCTCAGATATTTTGGAGGGCAATGTTGATGTTGATGGAAGATGAAAGCGAAGACCCAATATAGAAATTGTGCATGAGAAAGCTCAGTCGAGGAGGCGAGTTGGGATGGAGCAGTAGCAGCAGGTCGGTCTTTTGCTCTTGTCTTTTGCCTTCTTTCTCTCTCTCTCTCTCAGCTCTCTGCATCTTTTTCTCTGTCGCATTTTTTCGAACGCAACTAATTGTTCGTCTTTGAAACGACCACGAAAACGACGTTGGAAGGAGTGGAGGGGTGAGGAGGGAGGAAAAGAGAGAGGGGGGTGGTGAGTAAGAGAGATGTAACCAGACTATGACGATTCGTTCAACATTGCAGAGATTGGATACAAGGAAGAGAATTAGACAAAATCACAAAATGAGAAAAATAGGCAAGTATAGTCCAGAATGGATATCGATTCGGCCCAGCTTTGCATCTTTTTTTTTTCATTCAGTTCTTTAAAATAGTCCATGTTTGACATCATCAATCCTTTCGCACTCAATGCCGCCAGAATTATAAGCTTGTCATCGAATATCTTGAGCAATTTATTTTCGTAATTTCTTTAAAATATTTCACGAGTTAGAATTCGAAATATGGAGATCGAGCAGCAGTGAATAAGAATATGAAGTGCGGAAATGGGATTTCAAACCTTTCAAACATGAAACAAAAAAAAAGAAGGAGAAAGAGAAAATCCAATGACTTTAAAACTTTAAAAGGAGACTATGTGACTTTGAATTATTTATAAAACGATGGGCAGCTTTCGATTAAACTTGAATTATCTAGACAATAAAGATTTCTTTCTTCAATCCCTCCCTCAACTAACAATTAGCTTATTTTGAATTCTCTCTCTCTCTCTCTCTCTCTTTATCTCCTTTTTTTGCTCTCTTACCATATAAATCAAAAGAACTTGTCGTATTTGTTTCCCATCTCATTTTATGAATCTGTTTAAGATCATCTATGGCAACATTTGCAATTTTAATTGTTGCCGTCAACTATACGTCACATAGTATTTTTAGTTTCATAAAGAAGCTCAAATTCCTTTCCCCGAAACTCTGCCCTTCATGCGTTTGAACCACATGATACAAAAAAAGTTAATTTGTCGATCATTTCGAGCTAGTGTAGCGTCACACATAGAATAACTAGATCATTTGCATAAAATGCAGCTGTATTTCACGTGAAGACACGTGGATCAGATTTCCGTCATTCTAATTTGATCTGTCGCATTGAACGGTTGTTGACGTCACCAGCGCAATATTCTAGTTTTGCTCTATTTGAATAACTGCACAGTTATTAAAGTTTACTTAAATTAGAAATTTCCGTTTTTTTTTCGCTTTTTTTGCTCCTGGCACCTGCTTGGTCATCGATGTGTGCGAGTGCAATTGTCACTCAGCGATAGATGCTTGTCGTCTGTTCGCTCATATTTATACAGCCTTATATGGATATTGAAGTTTCGTGGTCTAGCAGCCTCTTACTTTGCGCAACCACTTCCATCATTCAATCAATTTTGTCTGCTCTTTTCATAGCGAGAAACACACATACCGATTTCCAAACATCTTCGAAAATACAAATCTTGTCCGAATCGATATCTCTTCTGGACCATACTTGCCAGTAAGAGTATATCGGTGCTAGCTGGGAGCTTATTCGACCCATACGAAAAGATTTCACACAAAGAAAAGAGTTTACATAGAAACGAGGAAATTATTCAGAAAACAAAATTTCCGTTTTTAAGTCTAGTAAAAGATCTCCAAAATTACTTCTTTTAAGGACACGAAGATAATCAGTTCTGCCACCATTTCGGAAATCTGGGGCATCGTTGATTCAAATGAAAGTAGATTTACGTTCCATACGGAATCTGTCAGATTGACAGGTTTCCTAGGATGTGTGAGCGTTAAGGAGCATAACCTCTTAATACTTTATTTAGTTTAGTTGTTATGTTTCAACCTTTTGCCGCAACAAAAGAAGAGTAAGTTCAAACCGAAGTAATTTTGGAGATCTTTTACTAGCCTTAAAAACGGTGCAAAGCTGGGCCGTAAAAAGGAGAAAAGAAAGAGAAAGCTGCTCAACTAAACCCAAAAACGGATAGAAATGTTGCTTATATAGCATGTTGTGTTAGAAGTTGCCACCAGCGGAGACATAAGGAATGAAATTTGAAATAATTTTCATAATAATATTAGAATAAGTAAGATGTATGATATATATAGAATACATGGCAAATGAGTAACTAGAAATGGATTAAGAAAGAAAAAAAAATAAAGGAGAAAGAAAAATGAAGATGAAAGACAACTGGATAAAGTCAAAATGCGAATTGTGCTCAGACAGTTGATGAGGGAATGCCACCGACGTAGAGAGTGCTAGGGACATAAGCAGCTGAGAGACAACAATGTGATTGGGAGAGTGCAAAAGAGATATTAGACAAAAAAGGAAACAACATACGTTCAGAAGTGAATGATGATGGATAACTGAATTAAATGCTTTTCAATTTTCCAATAGAAACATTTTTCTTAGCCAATTAAGGTTTTGATTTTTGCGATCTCATAGTGTGGTGCACCAAAGGGCAGAATATGTGGAAAAACGAAATGACTTTACATTCGAAACCCATCTATAGAGGATGATCAAAAGAATTATTTGGAAGTTAACGAGACATAGAGAGAGAGAGGGAGGGAGGAAGTGAGAGGAAAGAGAGGAAAAAAAAAGAGAAAATTGTCTTGCGAAAATCAGATTTTACTTTTACCTTTTGTTTTAAACGATTTAAGTTCAAACATTGTCGTGGTGATTTGGTCAAGCTGTCTCTTTCAATAAACTCTTTTGTTTCATTTCCTTCACAACATTTTTGGAATGGAAAGCTAAAGATTTTCAAAATACGGATGAATGACTTGCAATGAAAAGCCTTCAATTTTGACAATTATGCGAAGAAAAATGCAAAGAAAAAACTTTTTTTTGCCTCGTCATATTTTTGTTTGAACACAAGACATCTAGCCTCGGCAATTCTGAACTATCCGAAGATGACCTTCAAGTCCTCGTTGTTTAGTTTTTGACGGAAAAAATTTTTTTGTTCTACACCCCCCGGAAAAAAAGTTATTAATGGATTTTCTAGATGAAAAAGAGAGAGAGAAAGAGAAAATCAGAGACAGAGAGTACAGCATCTACATCCACGTCTCACACACCTATGCTCACTGAATGGGTATTACCCGAACTATCGAGTTCGTTTCGTCTTAATTGTTTTATTTCAACAGAAATCAAAATGTCCCAAAGGATTATGCGTAACCTTAAACTATCAGTCCTAAGAAAACTCCGTATGTGATACGTGTAAAAGGAGGCAAGCCGTTTTATTTGTTATTTTTGTGACACAGAAGCCCGACGAATAGCTCATTTGTGTTGAAGAAGGCAAGGATTCGAATAAAAGGAAATCGACTAGCTTATCGTTATATGAAAGTTTTTATTTACCAAACATAGCTTTAAAACAAATCCGAAATAATGAAAAATTTACATTTACCCGTTTCCATTGAGATCAATACTTAAAGAGAAAAGAGGAAGTAGGAGTACAGGAGGATGGAAGAAGGAAGAAGAAATGAGATGAACAGAAGATGAAGAAAAAAATTTCTTTTTTTCCTTCATTACGAACAAAAAATGTTGTTCGTCATATACAATAAAAGTTGTTTTGAAAGAATTTGCTTAATTTGAACAAATATCAAATGGAACATATATATGTATATATAATATAATATATATTACACTTTGCCCATTGAGCTTTAACCCATTTATGGGAATTCCGAAAATCCAACACAACGACGAGCCGGTGAGAGGGAAAGAGAAGTTTTCCTTGGTACTGCTTTCTTTTCTTTTTCTATTAAAACGGATATCATATCATCTAATCGTCGATTTATATCTGCCCGCAGGCTATTGATAGCATCCCAAGATGCTATATCATCCGTGGTTCGAACCGCTGATTCCCTGAAAATAATATTTTTTACTTAAGTCGTTACCGCGTGAATCAATCAAGAATATTAGAAAATGACGTTTGAATCAAAAAAAAGATAAACATTTTGGATTTTTCTGATGGATTTAACGAGAGTTTCGGAAGTGAAGTTATGAGAAGATGCGTCTTTGATCAGTGAAGCCGCTACGCTCATAATCCACTTAGGATTCTCATAGCTTGTCATATAAGAACTGATAAAAATTTTGAATTTATATCAAATTGTTGACTGCTATCGGGAGCAAAAGATAGAAAGGATAGTTGTCTTAGGTGAGTTCCGTACTTTTTACTGGAGGTTATTTCTGTGTTTCCTGGCCATGTTGCATTGAATATTCCATTGGAAGGGAAAGTATATGATGTGTCTGTTTTCCTTAAAGCTGAATGCAAAGGAACTGTAGAAGAAGATGAAGCTGATGCTGTAGCTGAGACGCTATTCCGTTTATTCGAAGCGGATTCTGATGATCTTCTTGATTTTTCTTCGCTCGGTCTTATATAGCCAGACGTATCTGTAACATCAACATTTGAATATAATTCAAAAATAATAGGATTATAAACCTGAACAGCGTCGATTTTTTCTTCTTGACTCATCTATAACAGGTTGTGATTCCAATATTTCAGGTAATTTAGAGTTGTTGGGGGGAGCAAAAAGAAGCGACGTTGTATCACTGAAAGCATCTCTGAAACGTTTTCAAAAAGTTGCGTTGCGTAGGGAAGAAAACATGAAAGGAAAGCGAGAGAAGCAAAAAAAACGACTTGTCTACTCACTTTGCTTGATCTTCTTCAGCATCACTTGTACTACAAGTACTGAGCCCTTCTGACTCTTCTGCAACAGACGCTCTTGGCTGAGTTAATCGCGGCGAAATTCCTCCTCGAGAACGCGTTGATCGTCGACAAAAACTTCTGAATATGGTTTTACCCTGTCATTTGAATAAAATAGAAACCTGGTGCTGCTCATAGTTCTCATGATATCACGTTTGACGGAATCGATGTGAGATGAGCTTCGCTGGATTTCTCTTTGCCGGTCGTCTCTCAATTCATATCTGCAAATGGGTTAGCCATAAGACCTTAAATAGAGTTATCGTACCTTAAACTACTAATATCCTGCTTAATCTCATGAAGATCATCTTCATTAACACCATCCATCTTCATATTCTTCATTGTTTGATGAATATACCTGAAGTTTTAAAAATTCATTTCAATTGCATCCCCGACATTCTGAATTCGTTCAGCTGTTCGTCCCTCTCTCTCTCTCGCTCTATACTTTAGAGTGTCAACCAGAAAAAAAGGGAGTTTTTTGAGGTTTTAAAAAAAAAAAATTTGAAGAAGACGAGGAGGAAGGCTGAAGTGTGATAGCTGGAAGAACAAAACAGAAATCAGTTTTACAACCATTTTCATAGCACAAGTTGTCATTTTAACGTCAAACTTGTCATGAAGAATACGAGATTGTCTTTTCCATTTAAGATAAACAAGATAACGTTCTTTTTAGCTGTCATTCCCTTGGCTAATGAGTCTCAGAACGAGAATAGAGAGCATTATATTCTTTATGCTGAATGAGTTTCTGTCTCTGACTACGACTACGAACGACCCTAGTACTAAACACTCACACACTCTCTTTTTTGGCAAGTCAATCAGTCTTTTAATGATTGCTATATTATATATTTTATAATTAATTATTATTAATTTACCTGGCAACCAATCGAGCTATGATATCTCGATATGTAAGCGGCTTTTGTGATTCTTCATCATCCTCATTCTTATCTAGCTCATTACGCTTTCTCGAGTAACCAGGTCGCTGAAAATATTTCCGACGTCACAATTAAATACATGAAAAACAAAATAAATATAAAAAAAGCTGAAATGTACGTTATACACTTAATCTTTCTTTCTTTCTTCACAAACACTATAAACGAACGAATTGAAAGCGAGCAAGAGAGAGAGAAAGAGAGTGTGAGAGAGAGAAAATTTTGAATTTACCCTAATAGTAGCTCTTGTTTGGCTCTTTGTATACGTATATTTACCAAGAAGCCATCGAACGGTATTCATGATTGAGCAAACTGCATACCATATTGCCTTTAAACGAATAACAGTTTATATTTAAGTAAACTCTCAATGAATCAAATACTTTTGGTGTAATGACTATATTGAATGGAGGCGGCAAGCTGGAACCTTCATCGAAGTGCGCCATCCAGAGCTTCGTTCGATGAAATTTCCATTCAAGATCAGCATGATCCTTAATAAGTGATCACTTATTTCATATATAGTTACTATAACTTACATTTATATTTTGGAATGAATGACTCATCATGGCGATTAACATATTGAGTAAAACAATGATTGAAGTACAATGATACATGATAAACAAGCCTCGACCGATAGATTGAGTAAAATGATGATTCTGTTAGATTGAATTATCGTTCTAGCACATACCATTCTTAGTATTTCATTACCTCAATAACATTTGTATCTTCAACTTTAGTAATTGAAAACAATGCCCATAACAACGTCAAATATGAATCCGCTATTCTAAAATAACATTGTGAAAAAGGAATAATTAATATAATGGGAGGGTGGGAGGGATGTGAGAATAGCAAAACACAACCGCTTTTCATCGTCTGACGGAAGTAAAATGAATTTTATGTTTTCGAATATTCTAATCAATCAATATGCAAATGAGCATAATGACAATAACTACTCTATAAATTAACTTACGATGAAAACACATTAGACATTCGTTCACATTCTTTGCCTTCCATACACACTGGTGTATCCGGATCATAGTACCTTAAATGGATTGCATGATTGATTGTGCATATGACTTTCTAGAGCATACCAGTAGAGTTGAGCTAATCCGATACTAAAGCTGCTAATGATCAGAACAAAAATAAAACAAAACTTTGCAACATCAACAAGCATACATCCAAGTGAAATCTATAAATAACTTTCATCAGTATGCATGACAACAAGCTTCAAACCTGTAACGGTCCAAGATAGGGATTTGTTTGAAATAAATAAATAATCCGAGCAAAGCTGAAGACGTTGCCGACAGCAAACAGAGCTTCTGCCACAAGCATTGGCTCATATGCATTCCATTTGGAGCGAACAGTAAATCGATTTGAATTATGCTCATACAGATAATAGGATGACATTCTACATGATATGAATAGATATAGATGTTATAGCATCTTCAGATGTACCGTATGGATATTGTGCTTAGATATAAGCAAATCATGATAAAGTCCAACCAATTCCACCATTGATGAACGTACTTTTTGAAGCCTTCTTCCCATAACTGTTTGATTTCCGACCATAACATTCCTTCAAACATAATCAAATAACTTCATATATCAACTGTTTTTATAAACATACCCAGTACCCATGCAACAACCAGACTTTCGATCATTGAAGGCGGCGGACCTCTGTCTGATGCTCGCGTACCGCTGGAGCCCTTCAAAAACAGTTTTTCAACAAAAACCAAAAATCTTCGGTAAAGTACAAACCTTTACTTCTCCTTTTTCATTTCGATAACTTTCAAATGTGGCTAGGGTCAGTAATAATAAAAAACATCCAAATGATATTGAGTAGTAGAGGAACTTCATGAACGGCGAACGAACAATACGTCCGATTCGACTTTTCGGCATCTTCAAATATGATATGCTCAAGAAAACGATCTTACGGAAGAGAACGAACCAAAATATAGCTAATTGAGAATACAGGCCATAGAAAGACAAGAAAAGCGCATATGACTATATTCAGAACAGATCCACGTTGTTGACGACCAGGAAATCCTTCATACCATATGGATGTCAGCAACTGCTGACAATGAGCATGAGAAACAAACTGCAACGCATTTGTTTTATCTTTGACTCCAACTTCAAACATACAGCCTTCTGTTCGTACTTGATTGCCAACTTCAATCGACTCAGACTTAGCCGAGCTGACCATGGCTCTACAACTTCATTGTTGTCAGTGTTATCCTTGTTAAGAACAGCAATCAACTGTAAACATGATGTTTGATAAGTTTGGATTCCCTTAGCATACTTCTTCACTACTGCGACATTGGTTAAGCAGAGCTACAGCATAGTTATTGCAATCATTGGCCATCTGCAAAAACAAATACTCCTGGATTTACACTCTTATTGAGCAAACCTTCAGATAAACTTCCTTGAATTCCAGTTCCACTAAAGCGAGTTGACGCAACTCCCAGCTAAGCTTAAAAGCAGACTTGATAGGATCAGGACTATAAACATAATATGTAATTGGTGAACCTTCCGCTATAAACCTTGTTAGACTCATCCAAGCTGGGCTGGCTAATGCTCTATACTTGTTGATTCGTTTGAGAGAATGTTGAAGAGAATCATTCAATCTTTCCTTATCACAAGTTTCACATATACAAGCATGTCTATGAGGTTTCTCGATCAACGCCTTCCTCTGGATGAACATCCCCAAGATTTCAAAATGATTTAATTGAGCAGCCAATATAATGGGTGAAATATCACTATAAAAATATAATTTATGACGTTGTACTTAAAGGTGAGATTCTGGTAATTCTCTTTGACGTACCTTGGATACTCAGCCCCCGCTGCTTCTGCTGGATCAAGGTGTTGAGACCAACCTTCACCAAGCATTTCAGGTGTGATGGACGGATGATTGACAAGCATTTCAACTATTTTATAGACACCTATAAAAAGAGAATGGTTAGCCTCCCTTTGTTTCATATCTTTGTCTCTTCACAGTTCACTTCAACCACAATGACTTTTGATGTGAAAAAGCAAGTAACATCATTATAACCAAGGAAACTCGTCACGCATTTTCCGTTTTTAGGTGATCAAACGAAATCATCTCATTTCAGATGCAGTAGTCGGAATGAACGGTTGTGCTTCTACATCTAGCTAGCTTCCTTTTCTCTCTTTTTTCCTCTTCAACTGACAATGTGTTTCTGTCGCTTCCATACAAGGACATACTTCGTTGGTCGCTGTTATCCTTATTCTTTAGCCCGCTTATTCATATTTTGCGTCGATTTATTTAAAAAGACATTTCAGCTTTTAACCTTTCCTTATTCTGTTATTTTCCAAACGATTGGAAACGCCAAAATCGGATTTATCGCGCTTTCAAACTATTGTTGAAGAGGCGTTATATGCTATATAAGGAAAATGATTAAAAAACGAGTGAAAAGAAGAAGATTATAAAAAGAGAGAGGGATCGAGAGATAGAGAGAGAAAGAGAGAGGGAGAGAGAAAACATTTTTTGCTGTCCTTTTCATTTTTCCATAACCTTCACATCATATAGCTAAACGTACTAATTATGATGGCAGATCTTGTCTATTCTCTTCCATCCATAGGGTAAGAGGCTCAAGAAATTATTGTGATATTCTTGAGATTGAAATGATCTCGACATTTCATGCATTGACAGATTGAATAAGGAAATTTCTTTTAGTGGATCATTTCCTTTTTCTTTTATGAATCTCTCTCTCTTACACTCTGCCTCTACATCATCTTAATCTGCTTGTGAGCAGTTGATGATCTACTCGAACTCCTTTTGAATCAGCAAATTTTAAATATACTTTACGGACATGTCAACTGCCTTCATCTCATCTTATATCCAAATGAGCTCAGACAACGCCCGAAATGAAATGATTTTTGAAATAAAATTTTTTCCTTCTACTTGTGCTTGAGCTTCTGCTTCTCTCTCTCTTCATTCTCATCATCATCATCATCATCATCATCATTTTCATCAAAGTATTTGAATGAAAAACAAATATATAAGTAATCTGTCATCACCTTCTCGAATGGCACATAGCAAAGCATTTCCAATCCTAATTCCATCTTGTTGAAGTAGAAGCTCGACAACCTGCCCAAGAATAGATATAGTACTTGAGATTTTTTTCTCAAAAGACAAACCTCTAAATTCTCATTATCAACAGCAATTTCGAGTGCGGATCTGCCCATAATATCCAATGCATTCACATTCAGTGGCTGCCCATGTTTTTTCTGAAAAATAAAAAATAAATTTTATTTTTCAATTTAAAAATTTTTCTTGACGCATATGGAAGGAAGACTCACGCTCTCCTTTTTTTACTTCAATTTTTAAATTTCATTTCTAACTTTTTCTTCCTCAATCATATTTCATTACCTGTTGGAGCAGTTCAAGCAGCGTCGGCTTGTCTCCTCTTTCAGATGCTTCGATAAATCTGAAGGAAACAGAAAACATAAGATAAACAAAAATGAAAACAGTTCGCACCTGCGTTCTTTAGGATTTATCATATCGTGAGTTCGTATGCTTATTGCCGGAGGCGGAGGAAGGTTACCAAATGTATAATTACGATTTCGGGGCCGAGGTGATACCGCGCAGCGGGAGAACCGCCTTCCCGCCGCGGTTAACATCCTGCAAAAGATAGTTTAACTTTCATATTTTTTTATTGAACATTTCAAAGTGAATACGCTGAAGATGGGCAAAATAAAAGTTCTTTCTCCATAAATCTGTCCCTAGGCGTGATCTACAATCACTGACCTAGAGCAGAGATCGGATGCTCTTCAGAACGATGTGTGAGGACGTCAACGAGCAATTCAATTTCCCCAAAATGTCTGTCTTTCATTCTAATTTGTTATTTGTTTTATCATTTTTTAAAATAAAATTTCAAATTTAAGTGTGAAGAACAGAACAACGTGTTAAGATGCGGATGAGTAAGCGGACACCCAGGATTGCAATGAGAGAACGAAAGCTTGGAAAGCTTAAAACGAAAACGAACGATTCCAAGAAGGATAACGAGATCTATTCGTAGAATTAATAAATAATTACGTAGTTAATGTGAAAAAAATTACACTTGGAGCTAGGAAGGTGTATTTTGAATGAAATGGTTTGAAGATGAATGCGAAGGGTACGGAAGATGAAGACATACACATGCATATACAGAGAGATGAACAAACTTCCATGAAAGATAAGAGAGAGAATTCTTAGAGAGAGAGAGAGAGAGAGAGAGAGAGAGAGAGAAGGGTAAGTATTGAATGTTTAAAATCAAGAACTAAGTTGCGGAAGGAGCATCTCTAACTTCTTCTTTATCTTATATGCAAAAATCGAGTAGAAAGGAAGTCGGAAGTTGCGAAGTGGATGTTGTGGTCGAAAGAGAGAACAAGTAAAAAAATGTAAAAAGAAAATAGTTTAAGAAAAGCAGTGCAAACACTAAAGTAAACAAATAAATGATATTGATTATCAAAATTTATTAATAAAATTGCTTTTTAAAATGATTGATATAGCTTAAGATGGCTAGAGTGAGAGGGGAGAGAGAGGATTGAGGAAGGGAAAAGCTGAAAGAATGCAGATGTTAGCACATGGGTAATAAGACATTGAAATCGCTGTAAAAGCTTCCAATATTTGACAAAATTGAAAGAAGATCTCAAAATAAAGAGAAAGTGAAGAAAATGCTTCAGATAATTCCCACTCTCTCTTCATCTCTCTCTCTCTCATTCTTTGCCTGTCTCTGTTACTCTACCACCAAGAAAAAACAGAAGATGTTCTTGGGCAACAAAAAAGTGAATAAAGAACGAAGTGTCGTTGGATACTTCAACCACGACGGCATCTATTTGATGATGAAGAAACGAATTTTTGTTTCGAATATTAAAAGAATTTTCTTCAAATAGTCTGGGTAGATCAAAGATTTCAAAGGACAAAAAGATATTCGTGCTTGACAATAAAATATGAGAAAAAACTTTTTTTTGTCGACAATCAAACTATTTCTGAAACTCAAATAGAAGTGTTCGTGTTCTTGAGCTTCTCCTCCCTATCTCCGCCCTACTCCTTCTTTTTGTCGTCAGGGTCGTCGCCAACATTGTGGAGACAAGCCAAAAATGAGCACAAGAAGCTGATGATAGAGAACGAAGAATAGAAAGGAAAGAGTGGGAGAGGGAGAGAGTTATTGAGATAAAGAGAGAGGGATAAAGAGAAAGAGAAAGAATGAACAGAAGGAGAAGACAATAAGAGAGAAAGAGATAGAGAGAAGGACAAATCACATTTTTCTTCTCAACTCAGTACCCTCCTTCCAACCCTTTTCAACAGGATAAAAGTCAGACACTCCCTCACAATAAGAGAAAAATGAGAAATAAAGAAATATTTCAAGCAACTTAGAGATCAAACCGATCTGCGAGCACATAGTCGGCTAAGAAAAGAGAGAATTCGTCATGGATAATAGATATCAGAGAGAGCATGTTAAAAAGATAATGCCATCTGAGGAGAGAACGAGAGCATCCTGGACAACAGGAAACAGTTCTGTTCAAATTTGATTTTCAGCCAATTTCCATTTACGGTACAAGTGGAACATGCGATTAGAGATATGGAATTTGGTTCAAATTATATTATCAAGTAATTATAAAAAAGAATGTTTTCAATCCTTACTCCACATGAGAAGAAAATGATAGAGAGAGAAGGAGAGCATAACAGATCACAACACAGCAGCTCAAAGAGAGTACGAATGAATGGCAAAAGAGCACGACCGTTCAGCACAACTGCAGCATCAAAAATGAAACATTCGGCCCACGGGAAAACCTAGTGAAAGACGTCACGTGAACACGTGGAAATACGTCAAAAAATGAGAGATTCTTTTATTTTTCAACAAAAAAAATTCAAATTAGTTCATTCAACTGAATTGGCCAACAAAAAAAAAGTTGAAAAACTCATATGTTGACAGAATCGAGAGCAGATCTCACCTATTAAAGAAAAAGAAAATTTGATTTATGTTCAAGAGGAAGAAGACAAGAAGCTCTTTCATATATTTTATAAGTCATGACACATTCATGCTTGAGATATAGATAAGTTGAAACGAATCAGAAACTAACAAAAAAAAAAGATGAATGACGAAGATGAAGCTGAAAGAAGATTCTGAATGATGAGCCTCGCACGACGACTAAAAGGACGATTAGGAAAGTGTCCTCAAACGATGTATGAGTAGATGTAGTGGAGAAGCGAATAAAAAAAAGACAAGAAGGAGCTAAAAAAAATTTTTTTTCATATCTCTGAAGCCTTTTTTTTGTAACCGGACGACAACTACGTAAATTTGTTAAAAATAATATGAAAATAGCAAAAATTGCTTTTTTTATTTTTATGTCAAGTTTTTTGATGTTTCTCTAGACATGTCTTGGTGAAGAGATTTCGGAAACAAATTATGCCTCAGGCAACTTCAGATGGGGAATTACTTGGAGAGGAAGTTGCATAAGATTTAGCACATCCATATGTTTCGACTTACAAAAGTTGGAAAAAAATAAAAAGTTGGACTTTATTTTTTTTTGTTTCAAATAGCAAGATGGGAGTAGGAAAAAAGAAAAAATACTGCCAAATATCCTTTTATGGAAAGAATTAAAGCTCTCTCTCTCTCTCTCTTTCTTTCTCTCTTGCTGTTCTCCTCACTTTCTACCTCTCTAGCTGTCAATCTGATTCTCACTGTCATTTCTCTATTTCATTTTGACTTCCGACTCATCTCCATATGCTCTTTAAAAGTTGGAGATTTGTGCTTTTACTAACTATTTTCTCCACCTACACATAATCATTCCCATATTTAGAAGATGATTTCAATTGTCCTTCAAATTCTCATTTAATAGGAGTTTCTACTTCTCAGATATAAATCGTTGTTCGCATGCCATTCTTCTAGATTTCTTCTCATTCTATTCTCTCCAATGCTTTATCCCCCCCCCACCCCACCTCTCTATTCCTCTCTTTCTTCCTCTGTATGCTGTTCGCACTCTCTATCTCTTCATAAAGATTGAATTCGATTAGAAAACAGATGAAATTTCAATGCTTTAAATGTACTGTGAAAATTTAGATTCTAAACGATGAAATATGTTTGAGAAAAGCTAAAGCGGAAGAAAAAATGGTGAGGTAGTCTAGCACTGCCTTCATTTCCAACTTTTTTCATCTTCAACTCTCTTTCATCGTACTCTTATCACGTTTACTCTCATAATCCTCATTCCTTCTCGTTTCCATCTACTTCCGGCTAATTTCTTTTCTTTCTTTCTTTTTTTCATCTTTCTATATCAGTAATTTAACAAAATAAATATACAACTAGATGCTTCTCCAATCAGCTGACAAATATGAAAAAAACGTATTCCACGAGCTAAAAAAAGGAAAAAATAATATGAAAGTTTGATGATGATGTGCAGTCTGATAGACCATAAGCAAATTTTTCAGAAACAGAAATAAACAAAAAACAAGGGAAAATTGTAAATTTACGACCAAATACATAGATGAGAGAATAAACGATTGTGATAGAGAGTGAAAGCTTTTCACGTTATGGAGCTATCTACTAGCTCAAATGAATGAGAAGAAGGATCTGTGAAATAGATGCGAAGCTCACGTCGACTTTTTAGTTGTGATCGTTTCGTCGTCGATGTCCTCGTTCTTCTTCATCCTTCTGTTTCATTTTCTTCACGAAATTTTCTTGAAGTCTTCAAAAGCTTTTGGCATCTCTTTCTTCCTCTCAATTCTCTCTCTCTCTCTTTCTCTTTCTTTTACTTTTCCCGATGTTACTCCCCATTTTCATTGTCCGATCTCAAAGTCCCTCCCTCTCCAGATGATAGAGAGAAGGCGAAAAGCTCAAAATACTATGAGCCCCTCGGGGCATATCCAGCTTGGCGACGACTGGACAGAATATTTCAACAGAAAGGAGCATTTTCCACAAAACTACTTTAGCATCTGGCTTTTGCCTTTACGCCCTTCAACAAATTTATTTCAGACTGTTAAAAGAAAGTCATTTCAGGAAGAGCAAACAAACTTTCCTTCATGTGTTCAATTGAAGAAGTAAATAGAATCTAAACTATTCCTTCGAGATTTTAAAATTAAAATTTTTTTTTTTGGTTCAATTCCAGGCTAATGATAACGCAGCTCGCACACTTATGATACATATGACTCAAACGTGAAACATACAATTCTCCGTCGGGACTAAGGAAGGACACAGTTTCCATGATTGGCTGACGCTCATCATCATCCTCTGTAGCTGATCGTTTCGGAACTCGATTGGCTCCACGTCTTCGGTCTCTACACCTTTCTGATTCTCCAAGCCTCATACGTTCAGACACTAACGGTAAACTACGCGTCTGTAATAGTGTGATAAATAACTTTTGAAAAACAAAATAATAAATAAAATTGTTAAAGCTGTTCAATTAATTCAAATATTTTGTTTACGAAATGCTCTCAGTATGCATTTTGTATTTTCTATAAGTTAGCTTCTTCTCTCATTGTTCTGTGATCTTCTGTATCCTATTCTGTTCGTCAAAAGTTCAGAACATACAGAAGATGTTAAAAAATGTAACAAAAATAGCATTTTGACTGCTCCACATCCAAATAAAGAAGAGGGCTTCTTCCAACGAAATGTGAGATGCCAAAAATGGATATGCACGTGTCCCACACTATGAGATTCTCATAGAAAAACAGAAAAGGAACAACTATCAGATAACATGCAAATTGTGACACACAAAAAGATGACTTTTACTGAATTTTTCTTCTTCTTCTCGTTCTTTTGAATTCTTTGCGCTTCTGTGATTTGCAGATCAATCTTCATCACTACCTCACAGCTGATTATTGCAAATTATTATTTTTTTATTTCGAAAGAAAAAAAAGCTTTTTATATTAAAAGCCATATTAATAAGATTATAAGGAAGTGGGGGATCTTATAAGGATTGTTTACAATGATAAATGGCGGTTGAGATACGCTGAAGACTAAAACATACTTCGCTTAGCTGATATACGGAATATCAAAGTGATAGGTGGCAAAAGAGGGAGAGAGAGAGAAAGAGAAGGTTGTCAACATAGTAAACTCTTTTTTTTGTTCGAAAAATGAGTTTCAATTGTTTGGAAGTGAAGCTGAGACTGAGAAGATGTAACGGGAAGGTATCTCTATTCTTCAAACAGCTAAGTAGTTGATACATTTAGTATTGAACTAAAAGAAAGAGCAACTAGAGAGAGAGAGCAATGAAAGCAATGAGAGGAACAGGAAAAAGGACATGAACCTGTGTTGGTAGCTCAAATCTGATTAAACTGAAGGCTTGTAATGTAGTTTTGAGTTTAGCACAAATGCAACTGATTCAAAATATAAGTAAAATGAAAGTTCGATGAAAAAAAAATCTCGACTGGTTTCGAAATTATTTTTTCCTTCCAGCAAGTCGATCGAGCACAGTTTGGACCAACAAAAATGAAAGAAAACAAAAAAGGAATGCAAATAATTTTTGTGAAATTTGGCAATTATTACCTGTAACTGCATGAGTTAATGAATGTGATCAGCCTAAGCTCTGCTTGGACAAGCCGATTGAATACATTGACTGAGGACACGGACTCTTCTTCTTCTTCTTCGTCGTCTGCTTTCTGGCTTCGCAGCTAGCCGTCTGTGAACAATCAAAAAAAATTAAAGAATCGTTACAAAGCTGATGAACGTAAAATAGAATAAGGTGCCAAATAAGGCAGCAGATTTGTTTGAAATTTGATAGTCAGCAAGCCATTATGTTCAAAGAAAGAAGCTATTTCTCTACGACCTCACCAATTGTTGGAAGACAAGGAAAAGATGGACAACATTCATTGGAAATTAAATAAACCTTTACAAGTTATTTTTTTATTCCAATAAAACATGATAGAAAGAAAAAAAACAATTTGAATAAGAAAACAATCATCAACATCAAACATCCGTGAAAAGGCAAATTAAAAATTCTGAGATTTGTTTAAGAAAATTCTGAGATGGAAAGGGGATCAACACAGAGACAAGCAGCCGATTTATTATCAATTCAATCATTCCTTCCTCTTTTCTCTTCTTTTCCATCTTCCACAATAGACTGAGAGTTTGAGTTAAATTTATGAATTTGCTCATCTTCATACTCTCTCTCTTACTCACTTTGTCGTTTATCATCTCTCTCACTCTCTCTATTGCTATCATTTTTCGAACAGAAAAAACTAAAGGAACTAAAAAAGACAGAACATCAATTTGCTTTTCATACTAATAAAGAGATCCAGAAGTAGCTTAGATAAAACAAAACTCATGGGACTCCCCCCAAAAGATTTTTTCCATTTTCACTCAAAAATTGTTCAGAAAAAATGAAGTCAAGTCATGTAGTCAAAAACGAAAACTTATCTCTTCTTCCTCTCCTTCTCTCTCTCTCTCTTTTCTGTCCAAAACGATGTCGATCTAGAGGGTAGTCGAATGAAAATGTTTTTTTTCCGAGGGCCATAGAATAACTTACCATCAATAGACGAAGAGACAGAGGAATAGAGTAAAAGTTAAAGAAAAGTTTAAATAATTTCTGATCAACATGCTTTCACATCATATCCTCTTTCTATAAGAAGATTTGTGACAAGAAATTCGAGATATAAAAATGAAAAAAATAAAAATAGACAGACAGCCATGAACTTCCATAAGCTCTTATTGTTGAGTTGAATAGAACTTTCGTATTTTGTTGATGTTCATCTGATTTAAAACAATTCCATTGTCATCTTCCATATATGAACGAGATACACAGAGACACAAAAAAATTTTTTTTTGAACATTTCACTCATCTTCCTATTCAATTGTGGCCGTTAACAAATTTTATTTTAAATAAATAACTGATTTCATTACTGTTTATTCAAAACAAACAATGCCTTACAACTATATATATCTCATTCTGGAAGCTCATTCTCATACGGAAATAGGCGATTTATAAAAACAATTTCTTGTTTTAATGTTTTACTATTAGCCTTGCAGGCTATGCACGACCGGTCAACTCATCTACACATGATTGAGAATGAAATATCATTTCAATTCATTTTCGATAATCACTCACGCTCACCGGTGTCATTCTTAACATTCGGTTACTTATGGGATGAAAGCAAAAATGAAGACGTCACGTTAGAATAGGAATAAACTCATTTTCAACGACGCATCGTAATGCTTGTCGTGCATGAATTTGCTTGTCATCATCACCTAGAGCACGTCGGACTTTTCAATTTTCATATTCTCATGTAGCAGAATAGGAAAGTGAGTATCAAATTTAGAAAGCAAAAATCAGAAAGAACAAATATGAGCACATACATGAGGCGTTTTTATAACAGAGTTTAATAATAATTAAGAAAACTACGCAATCTAGGAGATATAATAATGAAATGCAAAGCTACAAATTCAATATTAGATAAGTATTAAGTTATTATTATTCTAGTTATCTACGACAACATAAAGCCTGAGAGAATTGTTTTTCTTTCTTGGGATAGGAGAGATGTTTATTACTCATTTTTCTTCTCCTTTTCCATGGCCTTCTTGGTACGAGTTGACAATTTTTCCTTACATTCCTTGTGTAAGTTGTAGAGATCAAACTCCAGAATACAATTATCCTAATAATGAACTTAATAAAAAGGAATAAGGAAGTGTGAACTACCTTGCTAAAAACGAAAGGAACTGCTCTTCTCTTTTCGTTAACCACTGGTCGTCTACGTACTTCCTTACCTTCGCTAAAAATAACATTTAAAAATAACAGCTTGATACTTGAATCTTACCTATACAAAGAAACTGTGGGTAACTGCCGAGATGTAGGATGTGCATTAACCCGGAAACGTTCGGCTTCTTTAGGTGATCTTCCTAGATCTAGTTTTCCGAACTTCAGATTTGGCAATGTGAATCTGAAGATATGAAGTTCGATTAGAGAAATATTTCCAAATGTGAAGACTACTTTTCACTCAATTCAGCAAAAACTGGGTTAACATGCTTACAATCCTGACTCCAAGTAGCGTAAAACATGATCACCCAAGTTGTCGATTTATTTTTTTGAAGTTCGTCCTTAACAAGATATCTTAGTTGATCTCAGAAGTTTGAAAAGTTTACATAAAGCTCAGTTCCAGTGAAATAAGTGATTTTCTCTGGTCCATTGAACGCCGGCTCAGGGAAGACGACGTAGAACACTGCAAAACTGTGTTGTAAGCTAGCGAACACATGCTTCACATACCAATACAAACGATGAAATAAACGATTCCCATGATTGGATCAGCTCTTGAGAAAAGGAAGACATTGGCAACTTTAGCGAAGAAGAAAACATTATTGAGATAATGCAACCAATTCGTTGCTTTTCTTCCTTTCATAACTATCACTATAGCAAGGAAGATGAGGATTTCACGCTCCCTCTGTAGTTAGAAGAACAATGTCATCAGAAAATGGTTAAAAACACTTACATAGTCAATCATACATCCTTCTTCTTCATCTTCCCAGGTGAAGAGATATTCACAGATAGATGGAACACCTTTCAAGAACAGAAAAACTAGAGATAGTAAGAGATTCGTGAAGTGGTAGAGGGTCAACGCCCGTTTAGCCTCTTCCAGATATTGGACCATTCCAATATTCTGTCTGTAAACGAATGATCAATACAGTTGAAGATTCTTCTTCAATAAGTCTTAAAACATACAAATTACACAAAGCATTGTTTGAAGAAACAATATTAATTTTATGTCATTTTTCTGTGCAATTTTGCGTTTTGCGTACTAACGTAGTTGGTAAGTAAACAGTTTCTTCCTTTTTCGTCGGCTTTATCTGATTCTGAAGATGTTGTTTTTGAGAATATGATGCGATTCAAGTGCATACACTAACTCTAACTCTCAACTCCAAGTTATAACCCTTAGTTAACCGTATTTCTTCGTATATAAACAGAAATATCCAAAATCGATGCTCTTGTTTCACGCTACTGCAGTTAGTATAGTATATGCTCAAACCTCTCACTTTCAGTTTTAAATGCCTCGAGAAGATCCCATCACGGAAGAAGAGCGAAGAGCTCACGATGCATATCATTTGACTAGAATGCGCATAGACCGTTTAGAGAAGAATATCGTATGTTTTCTTGTTTTATCAGGCCATAGCTCTTTTTCAGCATAAACCTGTATCAATCCCTGCAAGAAGGGACCCTTTGCGACCTCCTCCTCCTCCACCAGAGTTCGTTCGTAACGTTGTTGGTTCTTCCGCTGCTGCTGGAAGTGCAGAATTTCATATTTACAGGTAGTAATGTAGTAACGAATCAATGAATTACGAAATACACAGAAATAATCGTAAAAAGGAGCAAAACAGACTAGATTATATAGCTGCAGTTGCTGAGAGAGAAGATTTGGACGCGGAGTACAAGTAAGAAGCACATTAAACTGTTTGATTAACTTGTTCTTTTTAGAGCTAAAAAAGATGCTATTGAGAAAGCCGAAGCTGAGAAAACTGCCAAGAAGAGGGCTAAGCGTTTAAGGCATAAAGAAGCAGCGAAGAAAGCTAGGAAAATGAAGGTTCGTACTTAAACCATCTTATACTTACCTTTCATCCGCAGAAGGAGGTATCCAGTTCTGAGGAAGAAGATAATAGTGATAGCGATGATAACTCGGCAGAAAATAAGAAAGAGAATGATGATTCACCTGCCGTAAAGCAAGAACTCAACGATTCATCAGCTGTGAAAGGTGAAGGTTCAGTAGCTGTGGAAGAAGAAGTTAGACTAGGATGTGAAGAGAAAGTCGTAGACGCCAAACCGACTGTGTAGGAGGAAGACATCCCTAACGTGAAAAGATCTCTTGTTGTTTAAACAATATGATTGTATTTTGAATTTTAATAAATATCAATGTGATTGCACTAAATTTCACGACGGAGGTTGATTCCCTGTATCTTGACATTTCAATAGTTGAATCTCGTCCATCATAATCTCTTTTAGATGGTCAACCTAGTAGACTTGATGACTGGGCCGCAGCTCTATCGGAAGTTTCTCCAGGGAGAGCATAAGTACACGATTCCTGAGTACCTAGGCAATACTACCATGTCATTCTGTAGAGGTAGGCAGTTCTTGTTACACTTAACAATACATTCTTTGAATATTGAAGGTCTTTTTTATTTCTCAACCTCACTAGCCTTTGGTCCCGTCATTGTGTGTTATCTGTATAATCGGAATTATCTCCAACCTCAAACGATACTATTTATTCTGAAGTATGCAGGATTGATGGCAATGTTCGGATTGATGGGAAGGTACAGTAGATTCGTTTCCGTTTTTGACGTTTTTATCCAGATTTATTGGAAGATCTATGGATCCTCTGTACAAGGAGTTCATTGGGATTTATGCAAAAGCTCGAGCATCAGGCAAACCTGAAGACAATGACGCTCTAAAACAGTTCGATTTTGAGTTGTTTGGAGTGAATGCTGATTACACAGCCCTTCCGAACAAAGATCTGTGGTATAATCAACCAAATGAAACGAATGGTAAATTTCTGTTTCTTTTGACATGCCGGACGTTTTCTATTCAGCCAATCCGTTCACGAAAATAGCTTCCTTGTATGCCATCAAATCTTTCGGACGGCACATGCTCTATCCGGGCTCGATGGCTTTATTGAATTACTTGCTCCACAATAATCTTCAATTAGCTCGTGGTTTATTAGTAACCAGAAAGGTGATAGAGTACTGACATTCAATTCCTATCAAATATCGTATAGGGTGGTAAACGGGTCTGGATCAGAAGCACTCAAGGCGATCTGATTGATGCCATGTACGTCTCTGCTCCGGAATTTGTGCCTGACGAGAGGTTCAATCAGTTTTTATAAACGTCACATTAAGCTGATACTTCAGAAAAGACACTTTGGTAATCTGTTGTGAAGGAAACGCCGGCTTCTACGAGATTGGAATCGTGAGCACACCAGCTGAACTCGGATATCACGTCTTAGGTTGGAATCATCCCGGCTTTGGTGAAAGTTCTGGGCTTCCATACCCAGAGAGAACATTAGCTGCCGCTGATAGTGTCATGCAGGTCTTTCAAAGAAAATGATCCCATTAATCAGCCTGATCTGTTCTTCCAGTATGCTATAAATGTGCTGAAGTTCAAAGAAGAAAACATTGTATTATTCGGATGGTCGATTGGAGGATATCCTTCTTCTTGGTTGGCTGCGAATTATCCAAGTAATCAAGAAGTTCTGAAGCTGAATAAACGCTCTTTTTTTCCAGAAATTAAAGGACTTGTTCTGGACGCAACTTTTGACGATGTTCTGCCATTAGCCATCGCTCGCATGCCTAAGGTTTCATTCTTCCGATCTGCCATTCAATCAGTTTTTTTGTAGTTTCTTTCTGGAGTTGTCGAATATGCTGTGAGAAATCATTTCAATCTGGAAATTCATAGAATTGTCAGTTACTTTATTTCTTTGCGCAAAAGACAATTATACTTCAGTTGGCCAAATACAAAGGGCCTCTTCGGCTTATTCGAAGACTACAAGAAGAAATTTTAACGACTGATGACACTGGAGGAGAAGAGGAGAAAAGAGCATCCAATAGAGCCAATTTCCTCTTGAAAGAAGTTATTAAAGTTCGTCATCCAGACGTTATTCATAATTTGGAACCACTGGTAAATCGCTTTTCTCTCAGATCGGCCTTTAATCTTTTTTTTCTGAAGGTTGATCGTTGGCTTGCGATGTCACCAAACGAGAGAGCAATGTCTGCCCACGAGTCAATGGTTTTGATAGTTTTTATATCCAATAACGTAAAGTGTGTTTGTAGAATACTGGAAATGGAGAAATTCTTGCGAAACTCTTCCAAGTATGTGATCATTACCTAGTCGACTTTGATGCAACACACGTCACTCCTCTAGATCCTGGGTAAGGAAATGAGAGTTGCAAGCATACAGAACGTTTCAATTTCAGATATTTCAACATTCCAACGGAATATCGCGAATAGAGATCTCCTAGTAGGCGAAGTGACTTCGCCCTAATCAACAAAAACATTCACGAAGCTTTGTTTTACAAAAATCAAGTTGTGCATGCTGTATACTATAGTCCCCCAAGGTTTTTTAGCCTTCATTTAGCACTTTAATTTATTTTCCCCCAAACAATGAAATAATCTTAAAAATCTTTATTATTATTATTATTTTATAATTGTAAATAGGCGGAGTGGAAAAAAGCAAAAACATTCATAAGCAGGAAGAAGTAAAAGAGAATAAAGCTTACTCCAACTTGCTTAATAGCACCGTTACTTCTTGGTGGGAAGTACTAGTCTGTTGCAAGACCAGATGAGAAGGTTTTTTTGAGCAAAAAAAAGCGACATATTATAGGCTCATAGAAATTCTGATATTAATATTGGCTTTCCAATAAGCAAATGGAATAGGAGAGGTAAGAAAAGATTAGCATTGTGCACAACACTGTCATCATGTTCCAAGAATGGGTGAGAGAGAGAGAGATAGAATATGAGAAGAAACAAATTCTAATGCCTATGACTATTATTTCATTTGGATCTTTCGTATTCCTTCTCTCTCCCCTTCTTCCCCCAAACCGACAGTAGACATAGAAATCTTGGAGAAAACAATAACTTCTTAGTCTTGAGACCAAAAAATGAGAGTCGCTGTTGTTCACTTTCTATGGAAAACGTTTTGATGATTTTTCAGTTGATTGATAAAGGAATGAAAAGCACGAGATCATTTGAAATGAGACTTATTCTCTTCTTCCAAGAGAATCCAATGAGAGATCAGACATCAATGGAATACTTTTTAAGCTCTGAGAAAACTTCAGAAAAATATGATGACGTTGAATTAAGACGTAACATGTCAGCACTTCGTGAAGAAATTATAGAAACACATCTTTGCCAGAACTTATCACGATCCTTTAAATAATATCGTTTGTATGAAAAATATTTTTATGTACTTACCGTTTCAACAATGAATGGCTTGAGTGGGTAGGATATCTCATTGCCCATGTACGAGTAGGATATGTACAGACAGGTGAGTACCCATGCACGCAAATCTTCTTCAGTTTGAATAGAGAGTTCATCTGCAAAGAGACATAGTTGTACTACCATTTCAATGGAATACTGTAGAATCTCGATATCGAGAGATTCCAAAAAAGAACTTTGAACGAACCTGGGATAACTTCTCGGATTAGCATGAAAACAAAAACTAAATTTGCTGGATTAATGAAGGCGATATCCTGCCAACCCTATAGCAAACGAGAGATGGATAAGCTTTTTATCAGAAAAGCTCACTTGAAGCAGAAGTGCTCTGTCGACAGTCCGAATCCACATAACCAAATGAGAAGGCTCAAAGCCAGGAGGAGCTTTGTGCTGACAAATAAAATGTCCAAGACCACGAAGTAGCTCAGAAGTAGAAGCTTGAATGACAGTTCTCCTTCGTATAACCTGTAATAGGTTTTGAATGAGATATCGATAGCTGATGTTGCGATTGTAGAAACATACTTCGGGTTCATGTAATTTCTTTTTCTCTTCATATTTACGTTCAAGCCGAGTAACTATTCCAGTATCATAGCTAGAAGACAATATCTTACTTCCGTTTTTCGTATGCCAATCGACTGCTCTAAAGATAACATGATAGAGTTGTTGCTATAGAATCAGTGTAAAGCAAACCTTGTATGTGTTGGACTAAGAGGTGTTTTAGCCTGTGGCCCATCTGGACTAATTAGATTATTATTGACGAAATCTTGCTTGTTGAGACGCAATTCGCGTTGCAATTCTTCGCGTATGCTATAGAAGTTGGGAATAACAGTCGTTTCCGGCTCATACCTATGAATACTATATGGTATTGAATATATAATAATTATTGTCATTCACTCTCTATATACCTTTTATAATTTTGATTATTATCCAATGTAACAGGTACATGTGAATATGGCAAATCACTGTTCTGTGATCGATACGATGTTATGCTATCTGAGGAACATGATGAACTGATCAAATCTATAATTAATCATATTATTATTATTATAACTATATGTGTATATATTTACCATTAGGTTTAGGCTTTCGGCTAACAACAGGTTGAATATTTTTGCGACTCCAATTCCATCCTTGCACTAATACGGATTGTCTCTTTGTATTATAAATAGGGCCATCGGATGGTGAAAACAGATGGTTACAAACCTGAAAATACAAAATAAATAGAATTTAATTATGTTTTCTTTGCCCCTTCCCCCTTCTCTCTCTCTCTGTTCTGTTGAGAAGGAAAGAGAGAGTGGGAAGAAGAAAAAAGATTTTCTTTAGAAGAAAGAATGCATTTCGTCTGTTAGGCGTTAGCATTCATGGAAGACTGAACAGCTTCAAACGCTCCAAACCACATGATTTTGATATACGTGGGATGTACACGTTGACGCATATGCTAATTAGAGCTTTGGGACTGATAGTGAATAAGAGAAAGGGGGAGATGGTCGATAATTTCTTTTTTTTGCGATCTTTGAAGATGTTTGCTCACATATGATTATTTTAATTTAAAATTTAAAATAAAAAATACGTTTTTGCATTAAATAAATTCAAAATGCAAGTACTCTAAATAAAAGATATGCCCCCCTTCCCCCACTCCTCTTCTTCCTTATACGGTAGTTGCATGTTGATAGATTTTTTAGAAAAAAACTCGTATTGTTCTTTGCATTTAGCGGAAGCTCAGAAAAATCTCATCGTTAACAACAAGTCTAGAAGAGATGGTGTCATTGTACGTGTTGCCTAAGATGGAAGACTGTCTTTGTATTAGAGACGATGAATGAAATATTTCAAAAATGACTTGGTCATTTAAAACATGATCAATAGCTCTCACAATCTCTCTCTCGCTCTCTATTAACGACGTCAATGTCAATGAATCATATTTCTAGCTCATCATCATCACATTTGATGTAAGTTTGAGTTGACTTACCGAGGTTGGTGGACGATGCGGTAATGGAGATGTCAAACTGGCACCCATTATGACTTTTGTTATTAAATATTTAAATATCTGAAAAATAGAAGATGAGAGATGATATATGGGTAGTGAAAGCATAAGCACATATAGCTTTCGAGTATATAAACTAACCCAATGGAATTGTATGGAAATAAGTGTTGAATAATGATGATGATGATGGAATGATGAAGAGAATGATAATTTTTTTGTTTTAAGTAGAAGAAGAAATAAAAAGAAGAAAAAAAGGAAGAATACTGATATACACGACTGCTCACATAAAGTGGCTTTGAACGTGTGTCTGAGAATAGTAGTCTGCCCCCAGATGGATATTAGTTTGGAATCTTTTGTCTTCTGAAAATTCCAAAATGAGGTTCCTATCGATCGATGACAGTCTCAGACATCGATCAATAGAAGTTCACAGAGACTTAACTGAAATAATATAATAATTATAATCATATATTGGAGGAGCTAAAAAACATTTTTAAAAGAGACACACTGAAAGAGAGGGAGAAGATGGAACATGGAGAAAGCTGGGAAGAGAGGAAGAGAGAGAGATGGGAGAAGCGAACGAGAGGAGGTGGAGAGAGATGAAAGAATCAGAATAACACAACGAATACTTAGATTATCCAACATTCTCTAATAAAAATACATGACAAGAGATTGTAAGACACGGCGAACAAACAGTCAAAGAAACTGTCAAAATAAATCTTTTTTTTTCTTTTTCTTTCAACAGGATCAAGATAACAGCCACATAACAATTGAAATAATAAAAGGATTCAGAAGCGAAACACCATATTCAGTTAAAAGCTCCTTTATCTTTTACAGCCAGAATAGGTTAGATGGGATTTCGAGAATAAGCGCTAACAGACGGAAAGATGAAGAGAGAGAGAGAGAGGGAGAGTGATGGAGAGAGAGAGAGAGAGAGAGAATCATTTAATTTTTCATTCATTTAAAGGTTGAGTCTGACACATTGCTTCTTTCCTTTTACGTTTTTCTGTGTTTCAGCTTACCGAAAAAGGAACACTGATGACGAATGTGTGATCGATATATGCATCAGTTTATAAGCTCATTTGGCCTTAATTGCCGGAGGCAATTACAAAAATCAGTCGTATTAAGTTGAATATTGGGAATTTCAATATATTATCTGAGAACAACAGAAAGACAAGAGAAAAGAGCTATAGAGAGATAGAGAGAGATGAAGACAGAGAGGGAATGAAAAAGGAAGAATGGGAGAAAGAAGGAAAAAGAAAAAAAATTGAATGAATTGTTCGAAAGAGCTTGCTGCTCAGACGAACAAACTAGTGAAGCTTCTAATGTAATCAGCAGCTATCTAAGTGACCAGGAAAGAAAAGAAACGATTCTGAAGAAACTTCTAATAAGCTTGAACAAATTGAAAGCAAAAATGAAAATGAGTAAGAAGGCCAAGAAGAAGAAGCTGATCATAGATTGAGATGATAGATAAAATGACTTTTGAGGGTGGACATGATGGAATGAATTGAAGATTAGATTGTGACATGGGCGGATGTCAAATGCTAAAGAGCATCTTTGGCACTCACAAAAATATTTGACAGAAAAAAACAACTTCCTTTTGATGAAGAGAGAGAGAGGGGGGGGGAAAGAAAAAGGAACAGAGAGAGAGAGAAAGAGAAAGGAGAATATATATTTTTTCTGCTTCTGAAATCGAACTCATTTCGTCTTGCTCGCACTCTCGTTTACTCCACATAACTATGTATTGACTTTGTATTCTGACCTCTAGCTACTGACGGTTCATATCAACATGGGCATGAAACTACAAAATTCTTTCTCAACCAGGATGTAAATACACTGATTTGAAATATCCTTTTGAAAATGAATCAAGAAAGGTCTTTGGTGTTTTTAAATTTGACTGAAAGGACAACCGTTAGTGGTGGAGATATTTCAGGTCCTCTGACCTAATCGTTCATCTGACGAAAGGCTTCTGAATATCTTCTCTAGCTTTCACCAAAACGATAACAACTTTCGTCATGTCTTCTGGCTAATATTATCCAGTTGAGGACATTCAATTGTTTTATCTTTGATTGATGACAACGATGTACTAGCATAGATGATGTACGCAGAGCATCGAGACCAAGTTCGCTTCTCTTCGGGCATCGACATCATCTATGCCTCTCCGCTGCGCCCAAGACTTTTATTTGCCAACAAAGTCTCATGCACATCAGAAAAGGAAATCAAATGACCAAAATAAGCATTCGTTTCATAAATATGAATAAATGCCAAACAGAAACAGACGAAGCAGATTATTTGGAAAATGATTGATTTCGTTGCTATTTCCTTGGAGAATCGAAGTTACATAAGAAAACAATTTGGATATTGAATAGCTGCAGAGACGTCCGCAATCGAAAAGGAATATCTGATGAAATGGAGGATCTTCTTCAGCTTCTTTCAAATAGTCACTTTTTGATGGAAGAATAACAAACGTTAGACTACTTTCAGCTGACAGCTTTAGAAGTTCTTATGCAAAGTATGCTTGAGCTATTCAGAACTCCTGTTCTCCTTCATCGGATTTCTCATCAAGTTTGAAAAATATAAATGCACATCTATACATGTATGTGTATGTATATATATATATATATATATATATATATATATATAGTAAGGGAGTCATATAAATATGAGCATATACATAAATATATGGAAAAGAAGCTTGTAGTAAGCAGAGAAAGTAGATAAGATTCCGATGCAAAGCAGGAAAATTTCAAAATGCCCGGAGGTCCTGCGGGAATCTGTGAATCATTTGTCCTTCTTCAACTATATAGTCGTTTATCAAAAAAAGAGATTTCAATGAGGTATTATGATGGGTTCTCTAATTCTTTCGTTTGTATTCCTATTATTAAAAAACGAGGGAGAGAGAGAGAGAGAGGGGGGAGATTGAGCATAGAGAGGGAGTGAATGTTGAAGGGTTGAAAAAACATGAGTTTAGAACCTTCAAAGAAAGACAGCTTTGTATTTTGTAAGATTCTCCTAATAGCAATTGAAGTAAATGAAAAGCAATAAGCTTAAAACATATTGTTATTGCTTGAGAATAAAAATAATTTTTGAACTCTGAACTGGTAGCAATGAAGGTTTTTCTTGGAGGTTTGTCGAAATTTTGGAAGAGTGAGAAGATGAAGGAAGGAGGACCAGAACTTGCACATGGAAACGACAGGAGGTGATGGAAGTGATGAAAACAGATGAGATGGAGAGAAGTAGTGAGAGTGAAGACGTTTTTTTTTGGGTTAATTCTCGAGCTCTTCCTATTTTCTATATTTTGAAAGGTTTTCGTGTCTGAAATCATCAGGTTCTCAATTTCCCGATGGCTTCTCCCCTTCTCTCTCTTTCTCTCATCATCTGTCGTCCAGTGCACATCCTTCAAAATTTCAATGATTTTTAGAATAAAACAAAAACATAAGAATTTCTGTCAAGTAATGTCATCCGATCATCCATAAATAGGCAAAAAGCAAGAAACGAAGAAAGCGGAAGCAAAACTAAAATTCAGGAAAGTCATCCTGCGAATGTTCAATTAGCTGCGAAAATGAATAAAATAGAGAGAGAGAGAGAGAGAGAGAGAGCAACTTAAGATAAATAAGATAAATAAAATAAAAAGAAAGAGAAAGTAAAATGAAAAAGGAAAAAAAAGGAAAAGCGAAACAGAAAGAAATGGAAACGAAGAACGAAATAATTCAATTGTTTATCCTTTTTTTTTGCTGCCATTTTCTTTCCTTTCTCTTCTTACATTTATTTATGGCTTTACTAAACTCTGAAAAATGTTATTTACACTTAATATTTCTGATTTTATTTGGATTTTAAGAAAGAGGGAGCGATAGAGAGAGAGAGTTTTCATCCATTTCTCTCACTCTCCTTATAAGGATTATGCTAATTTTGAAAGACAACAGATACTTCTAGAATATTGTCGGTTGCGATACATCTGAATATAAAAAATTCTATAAAAAAACAAAACTCTCACGCGCAATTGGTTTGTCCAACAGAAATAAAATATTTTTTTCTTTTCCTTAATTGTGCTTAGAACTATGAGTGCTTTAAAGGAACATGCTTAGCCTATCTAATGGTATCAACGTATATAATATTGGTTTTAACTTTCACGAACTGCAACTCGAATTGATAGTATAGAGAAAGATTTGAATGATATACTACATATACGCGTACACTGTCATGGCTTGAAAGCTGACGCTCATCGACTAAGAGTCAGAAATAAGCTTTTTCTTCGTTTTAGATTTAATTTTCGATTAAAGAAATTTGTGTGCCGCCCTCCAAAAAAAATGCTCAAACAATTGTGGAGTCAATTAAACGAAAGTATAAATAAGAAGAATATTCTGAAGGAGTAGGTGGGCGGAGGAGGAATCGGGAGTTCTGTACTCTTCATAACACGAAGAAGACCGGATGAAGATGCTTCTTGTCCGGAATTTGTTTTGTTGGAAATTCTATCAGAATGAATGTTAAATGATCTGAAATGTTTAGAAGCTTTTCCATGATCTTCAAAGAGACATGGAATATTACGAAAGCGAAATACAAAACGTTTGAATCTTGATGGAAAAAAAAAGGAATTTAGTCAGAGGAGAGTTACAAGAGTAAAAAGTCCAAAAAGAGAAAGAGGGCTTCAGAAAGAGATGGACGAAGAGACGAAGAACAGGAAAAAAGCTCAGAAGAGAGCAGAAGAAATGATGAGTCATCGCTTGGCTTCTGTTGCGGGCTAAGCCATAAATGGATGAGAAATGGAGGCGGACAGCCGGTCGTCCATTCCGGATACAAGTAGGGTTCGATGCCCAAAAAAAATGGATGGAAACAAGAGACGGAGATCGAGTGAGATCAAGAAGAGATAGGAATGAGCATGAAATGAGGAAAGTAGTCGCAAAGATGAACTGAAGATGAAGTGGCGGTGACGAGTTGCTAAAGGATGAGAGGAAGAAGTAACGGAATGAAGTCATAAAAGGACTGAATGACGTTGAACAATTTCTGCGCAAAGAGCGAAAATGAATTCGTCGTTAAGT